AAAGTATTCGTTTTTAAGTCAGCTCGAGCCTTTTTTATTCGAAAATAATTTGATACAATTAGAGTGAATTCGATTCAAAACATCTGCAGTTTTATTTCCAAGTTCTTCTACTAAACTCAGTTTTAGTTTGATCTATTATTTAAAAAAATATTATTTTGAAAATTATTAAAAGTTCTTTATTTCATTTGTTTAATGATACAAATTTGATAGAAGTTATAAATTTACTCAACTCAACCATTATGCAAGATCAGTAAAAGCTTCTTTTAAAAATTAAAATTAAAGAAACCCGTTTGATACATATTAAAAAACAACTAGTATACTAAATCATTTCTGATGAAATTTAAAAATTGTAAGTTTTAATTATTTTTTTTAAAAAGAAAATATTTTAAGCGAAACAGGAACTTCGATTACAAAAATTCCAATACTTATATCGAGTGAAGGCGCGTAACTTTCTAGTACCAAAATTAACAAAAGCATTCTATATCAAATCTTTATTTTTTTAAAAATTAGATTAAAAAAAAATTTTTTTTTTACAGAATACTTTATTTCTTTATTTATTAAAAATTTTTTATGAAGTATTTTTTATGAGGAAATATCTTTTATGATAAAATATTAATGATGAAATATCTTTTATTTTGAAATATGTAGTATGAATCATGTATTTCAAGTTACTTAATTCAATTTATTTAATTCAATTGCCTAAATTTTTGTATACTATATTTTTTGTTACATTTTTTGTTTCGTTAGCCTAACAACTGAATTTGAAACTGGATGTTTGGTAGAAATAACCAATTTGTGCTCTGCCATTAATTTCATTAACAGATATATATCACAAATAATTTGAGCTATGTTATTAATATGAAATGGCATGCTACAACTAATTTGTAATATGATTTTAATTTAAAATCGTATAACAGAGATGTGTCACAACTAATTTGTTCCTTGATTCCATGATTATAATTTAAAATCGTATAACAGAGATATGCCACAACTAATTTGTTCTTTGATTCTATGATTACAATTTAAAATCGTATAACAGAGATATGTCACAACTAATTTGCTCTTTGATTCTATGATTATAATTTAAACGTATAACAGAGATCTGTCACAAATTATTTGCGCTTAATCATTAATTTAAAATCGTATAACAGAAACTCAAAAACATAGCAGCATCGTCAAAAGGGAAGGTTCTTCAGACTTTTTATTATTTTTTACTTTGAAAAATTAAATAGAAGTTTTAGAAAATTTATGTACAAAATTTAACAAGATAATTTCACTGTTATCACTTCGTAAAAGTGATATTTCAAAAACTACGATTCTTTCGAAAAAATGTGTTACAATACGAATGGAATAATTTTAATGAAATTGCATTTAAATGTTGCTTCCACTTAACGATTGCCGACGCAACTTTCTTAATAATTTGCATAATTGCGAACTAAATTCGTAATAACTATTATTACTTTTTTATAGTTCTGTACTGGCTTACTCTTGAACTTTAATTGAAAATCCTAGAATTAGGTACCTTTAAACTGCTAACAGGAAATAGGAAATAAACATACACCAGGGATTATTTTAGGAGAATTTTGGGTCCGTTAGCAGATATTTTTTAATCAGATTTTTTGCTGATGAAAAAATGCTGATCCTTCACAAAATATTTTCCCGCCAAAACGAACCTTTCACAATATTTCTCGTTTCAGAATCAGAGTAGAGGAGGGCTTTAATTTACTATTTGTAAACTCTTTTGAAGACAGGATTTTTTTCTTCCACACAGAACCAGAATATTATTTTTACCTATTTACAACAACAGGCAAAAAGAACCATATTCTACGGTAAGTTTAGATTCAGAAAATGAGTTGATCAAAAACATCACTTTTTACGAAAACTCTGGATAGACCTGAGTTTTTGATTTTCACAAATTCAAAAAATGATCGATAGATTTTTCGTAAATTCTCAAAGACTGGATATTCCAAAAAGTCTGGAATGAGATCAGTTTATAAAAAATATATATTTGGAACTAACTAAGTGAGCATAACTTGAGACTAACTCAGTGGCCTACAAAATTTTCGAATTACGTCTATACGATTCTGGGCAGCATTTACAATAAACCTAGTCTATATTACATGCACTATATTTTTTATTATAAATGTATTTATAATATTCTCAGGATTGTATTAGGTTTTGCACTATTTTTCAAATAAGGAACTGCGAGTTTGAAAACTGGAATGAAATATAATTCATGTAAGAATGATTTTCTATTATTAGCTTATAAGTTGGAAAATGGATATTATAGTATTAAAAACACATACAGAAGTCTCACGAAACAGCATTTTTTTTCATTTTTGATATTATTCCAGAAATCGTTTTTTATTTTCAAAAATTGATCAAACGAAGTCATTTCGCCTCAGATTTTTTATTAAGTAAGTAAAAATAACAAAAATAAGATTTGCCATTATTTCATAATGTTTCCTTTTTTATGTCGCAGAATCTGTCGTATATCTGACTGTCGTGCATTTTTTTTTTATTCAGTTATTTTTATTATTCAGTTTTCCGAATATCAATTATTCTTTAAATATTCATTTATTTAAGCGCATTTTTCTTCATTGCTAGTTTTCTTTAAATACTGCCAAGTTACAATCTACTGCTTTTCAATTTAACTTTTTATAGCACTAGGTGCCTCCACCCCCTCCTCACGCCAACCCTCGTAATTTATTCTCATTCATCATTGTTTAGATCTTTTCAAACGTCGATATTTCCCACAAAAATACAGAACATTTTGGTTTCAAAATATACAGTAACTTTAGTTTTATGTCAGAACTTTTCGTTAATAAGCGAATCATAACGAAATAGACAATTACCTGGATTTGAAAAATAATCACTAGAACTTGGAGGGAAAAAAAACGTTTAATTTAAAGAACACAGACGTCACGCTTTGTGTTGAACTTTCTGAATCTACTATTGCCATGATTTACTTACCATGACTTGCAGGTATCCAATTATAATGTGAAAGGGAGCATAAGAAAAAAAAAAGGTTGGAAATCTCTGATATACAGGGTTCTCATGGGTCTTAGAAATTTCTAATAGTGGTAGTAAATTTAAATTAATATTAGTAGAAATGTTCCATTTTAAGATGCTAACTTCAGTGTTCAGAAATATGACAGAATTCTCATGTATATATATATATATAGTAGTTGAAAAAGAATAAACAAAGTTNCTAAAGAAATTATAAAAACTAATTTTTTATTTTCAACTTTAATCGCATATAAAAATAAGGCCCAAGTGAACCTTTTAACATTTATGCTTCCAGTTTTAAAAATCAGGAAAATTCAGAGTCAGAGGTTTTTTTCTGGCCATCCTGACTGATATAATACTGGTTTATGTTTATATATATTTAAAATAAATATATATTTTATTATAATATAAATATATATTAAATTAAATATATATTTAAAATAAAAAAATATTAATGATCATTAATGCATTACAATTTACAATGTACGTTTCGTTTTAGTCAATACTTTTGAAGTTTTGAGGAAAATAAACCATTATTGTTGTATTGTTCCTTAATGATTGTTCTTTGTTGATTGTTGTGTGAACTATGTTCATCTGAACACAAATGAAATGCATGACAATTAGAATAATGATTTTCTTTTAACAATTTCGATGAGGAACTCAAATAATTTATTACAAGTATCATTAAATGGGCCATACAATTTATTTATAAAAATATATCATAATATTTTTACATAAAAATATATGACAAATTTTTATAAACATATAAAAGTATATTAGTAATTTTAGGTTATAGAAACCATGACACCAAATTCGTCAGCAAGTAGAACAACGCTGGGTTTGAAACGTTTTCCGATAATACACATAGGTGCATCAAATATGAAAATATCGTCATCATCAAATATGACAATATAGCAATCATCAAATATGACAATATCGAGATCATAAAATATGACAATATCGTGATCATCATATATGACAATTTCTCGATCATCAAATATGACAATATCGTGATCATCAAATATGACAATATCGTGATCATCAAATATGACAATATCTCGATCATTAAATATGACAATATCGTGATGGCGGGTTTAAATTCCGCTGTAACTCAAGATATATTCTTTGTGATGTCCTTCTCTGAATTGTTCAATTTGTCCTTCTACTTGACAAAGGCTTATAAGCCTAAATTGAGCAAACAAGCCTGCAAGTGCATGCAATTCTAAATAAAGCTATAAAGTCAGTGCTGGTTTATCGCGGACCTGTAAGGTCAGTAATTTGTGGCACTTTAACAATATTTTGGCCACTTTGTTTCACATAATTCACATAATCTTTACATTGAAAATATTTTAAATCTAAACCTATTTAAATATAAGCAAAATTTATATTAATTTTAATACAAATATTGGACCATGGACCCGTATAGGTTAGCGGCCCAGCAATTGAGAAACAATGGGTTTTAGGGACTAGTGTTTATATTGAAAACAATTAGAAGACAGTCGCTAACGCATAATCGGCTGGCATCTTTATATTTTCCAGAATCATTTCAGTTTATGTTTACTTAGTTTATAAATTATCACTTTGATCCACCAGTGGTTTTTACGCAAATGGCAGATATATTTCAAAGAGTTTAAAATGAATACAAAATATTTGCTTACAGATAAATTTTTATCTTAAATTGCTGTTAATGTACCGTAAATGAAAAAACCTGTTAGATATCACGCCACGAAGGGTAAAAATTTTACTGCACTTTCACTTTCGAACGGAACTTATTAAAATGAATGACATAAATATCAAATGATATAGGATGTTATTCCAACAGTTTGTAATCAGTTTCCTGAAGAACTAAAAAGAGACATTCTGAGAAGACATCCTAATAGCCTTATGCCCTAAGGTCACCTTTTTTGTTGACAAATTTCCTGTCAAATGAATGAAAGTGAAAGTAATATGGTTTATCATAAGTAACTATTGCCCAACGAAATCGTAATAACTGTTGTTCGAAAAACACCAGCGCCACTTCTTAAATTTCAGTTGGTATAAATAACGTTTTCAGGTTGCTTTCTATAAACTTTTAGTCAAGTGCATCAGAAAAATTACAATGAAATTAATTGGAGCTATTGTTTTCATTCTGAGTGCATCTCAAGCAATTGGTAAGTAATAAATTGATTGCAAGTAAAGTAATTTATTGAGCAAGCTGTAAATAGTAGTTGCATAAATTTATTTGAGAAAGTAGAAAAAGCAAAAAAGGGATTTGTAATATTAGTTTTTTTTTTAAATTTTGTATTTTGTAAGTAATTATCCTAAATATAACGATTTAATGTTTAATTTATTTAGTTTTGCATTACCGCCGTTAGCAAATTGATGTTATGTTTGTTACAGTACATCTCGGTAGCAGAGTTTACGTAGTAAATCAGCCCTATCTTCAAAAATAAAAATTTGTGCGCGATCGCAACGTAGTAAGAAAGACATTACTATTGTAACAATTCAGTTAAATCTAACATACATGTAGTAAAATTTGCAGACATATGGTTTTTAAAATTTATACTAAAAATTATTATGTTTGAATTTAAATTTAATTTTATTCAATGTTACTAAAAATATGGAATAAATCCCCGTACAGTATTGATTGTAATCAAGTAAAAGAAAAAAAATCTTTAATTTTTGTGCCTTTAGGTGTTCTTTTAATTCAGATTTTTAATTTTTTAAAAAATTAAGTTTGGAGATCTTTTAAAAAGGAATTTCAGCAATTTTTCTTAATTTGTTTGTTTGCTTCATAAAATAAAAAATAAAAAAATTAAAATTAATCAGCAAATGCTGTAATAATCTACAGTGCTGCTGCCGTTCTGGAGGGTTCCTGCTGTCGGGCACTTTTTCACGTCATTTTAGCGAGACCATTAGAATTTATTAGAAAAGAAGTTTCAAATGTTCTATTTTCGGCCGATGAAACAAACTTATTGGTGATGCTTTCAACCTTCAAGTTTGTCACCGTAATTGGTTCTATTAAAAATAGGATTAGAGTGGGTAAACTGGGTATTAAATCGAGCTTTTTTTAATAAAGAAGCTTCTTTTTATAAAATCAAACTATTTAGTTTATTTACTGAAAATTTCAATGCATTTTATGTACATTGGATTCATGGAGATTAAATATGAAGCAAAACTTATCAATTTTGTTCGATTGCTTTCTTACAGTAATCCACAAAAAAGAACAAGTTTTTATCTATTCATTTTACTCCAGTGTAGGGTAAAGTAGATATAGTTCTAAAATTAGTATAAATTTCATCAATTTAATCAGTATTAGTTAAATTAAAAGGAAAGTCGGTTAGTGTGGTAACTGATACTTAAACCCTGATATTAACCATTTCGTAGCTACTTGTTGTAGGAATAAAAACTCTAGAGGTCACAAATCAATATTTAAGCAATAAATAAATACAATAAAAACTAACACTAACAGTATTAAAATCTTATCAATCTGGGAAATTTTTCCTCTCCTTTCTGTTTTCTTCAGCAATAAAACTAAAGTTTTTAATCTCATCTTCCTTGTAAATGCTTTGCCAAGTTTTGGTTAAGTTTTTTTTTCAAGCTTAGAGTTTGATGCGAATCTCAGTGTGTATGTTTTTTTACTTCATTTTTGGTAAAATTCGAATACGGCAGAACTTTCTACTATATGCTAACCTGCCTACTTGTTTACTTAAACCTTTGGATGCTGAAATTTTATTAAACAAATTTTCAATAGTTTTGTTTTCAGTGTTTTGTATTAATTTAAGTCAAAGTAGGTAAAAAAATATTACATATAACATTTTAATAATTTATTTCTATGAAATATAGCGTGAAACACTGGAGCCTTTTTCTGCGTTAAAGGTAAAACCCTTCCAAACATGGTACACTTTCAATCGATAATTTTTCAAATTCACACTTATTTGCAGTAATTTAGATCTAAGAAAAACAGTTATCAAAATTTTCTTAACTTACAAAATCAATGGATAAATATTTGAATATGAATGATAATTTTTTAAATAATTTTTTTTAATGTTATATTTTAATACAAATGTAATTCCGATAATCTAACAGATTTTTCAGTAATTATTAGACTTTTTTTATAATTCAAAATACACCAAAATATGTTTTTACTTGTATTTAAAGAGTCATAAAAATAAGTAGACACAGGTGTCCTATCTGCATCAAAGGGTTAACTGAAACACAATCGATTTGTCATTTGAAAACATTGATTAAATTCCCTCTAAACTAATTTTGTTACAAACTGCATCAGTATTGCATTGCATTAATTTTGTTCTATTGATTAAATTTTAAAAACATTTTATTGAAAACTTGTTTTATTTTTCAGCATTGTGCACTGATTTGACAGGGACATGGAGAAATCAATTAAATTCAAATATGACTATAGAGAGTGTCACTGGTGATGTTTTCACAGGAACTTACCATACTGCTGTTGAAAGCACTCAAGGAGCTGCCAGATTATCTTCAAAAATTTCGGGTAAGTACAGGGAACCTTCAAATTTGAAAAAAAGTGACCAAAATTTCGATTTTGAGATTTTTATTATTTCAAAAAATAGACGTTATAAGCTTTCAAACAAAACAAAAAAAAATTGGAAATCGAACCATTTTTTACTGAGTTATGAGGATTTTATTTGGCCACGCCCCCTTGTTTACATTCAGAAAACAGAAGTCGGTAGCTTGAAGCAGCCGATTTACTTGAAGCAGCCTAAAAGAGCTTTATATTATTCAAAATACAAGAAAATTAGTGATGATCAAAATTATGTAAGATCAGAAGGAGCCTCCTATTGTGCGGGAGGATTTTAAGAAAATTTTCTATATTTGACTCGCACACAATTAGTTTTTACATTTATAATTGAATCAATGTTTCATTTTTCGTTTGATATATCATTCATATTTTTTAAAATAAATTAATTTCATGCTTACTAACTTATTTTACTTTAGTGATTACTTTACTTTATTTTACTTACTATTTTACTTTAGTTTTTACTTTAGTGAATTTATTTGCATTAAATTTTGAATAAGTAAATATGCTTGTTGAGTACGTTTGTGTATTTCTTTTCATAGGCGCATATTAAGTTGGATTTTCATCCCTTTTAACATAATAATGGAGATAAAAGTACAGATAAATGCTTAATTAGTCATTTTTTTAGATATTATACACAGCTAATAGTGTTATTTTAAATACATTTAAAAAAATGCTATTTTCTCAAAATGAAATTTTGACGAATTTATGTGTATTCGAAATGCTCCATGAGTCTCAATTTTTTTTTTTTTTGGTTGAAACTTGTTTTATGTGTACTATGTATGTATGCAATTAAAACTTACCATGTTTTGTTACCAAGAACTTTGATAAAATTTGTTTATAGTAAAAAAAGTTTAAGATTTTTGAAATTTTTCCTGAAATTTTCATGAAATACATAAAAAATGTGTTTTTTGAGCTAGAGCAATGTAATTGGCCACTGAATGATGGTAACTTTTATTTGGAAATCAAAAACGAGTCATATAAAAAAAAAGTATGATTTTGCGGTGAATTTTAAGCCGCGTGGAGTGTTTTGACTTTATCGGATTTTATGCTATTTTAAAATTTTAAAAGTTCAATAACTTTAAAAATTATTAATCAAATTACATGAAATTTTGTATATAGCTTTTTAAAGATATTATAAGTAAATACTGTGAGTTTCATAAATGTAGCATAAAAACTCTGAAAGTTGGCTATATGAATAGCTATATGAATAATTTAGAAGAAGGGACAAAAAGCGTGCGCCTGCTGGAGCTCACAAAACTTTCATTAAACTAGACTTATATCATGTCATTTACACAAATATTCGGGGATATTTTATCTACAGCTTTCACTTTTCCATCATTGCTGATGGCTTCAATCCACTTAACTTTAAAAACGCAACATTATTCAGGAATTAACAGTATATATAGAATGTCCAAAAAAAAAAAAAAAAACTCAATCACCATACAATCTATGGTATGAAAGCAAATCGTAGCGTCCAGGAGGGTGCGGAGTTTTCTTTTGGGTCTGTGCTATTAATTTTGTGTCTGAACTTTTTCTTTTGGAGTCATAGGAAGAGCCTCATCTACGATAATGAGGCGTACCGGGTTCTAATTCCAACGATGGCTGATCGATACGAATACAGCACCAGGCTCTCACCGATCACAGTGCTAACTTAAAATATCCTCAGTGGTAGACGGATCATGGGTTAGTCCCCTTGCTGTCGAGCTAAGCATGGGATGCTTTCATGGTTTTCCTCTCCATGAAACGCAAATGCGGGTTAGTTCCATCATAAAGTCCTCCACGAAGATAATCAAACCTCAATACTTGAACCTCAATACTTGACTCAAAAGTTCTCTTGTCTTCTGGATTGGGCTCAAAATTACTAGGCTGAGAAGTTGATCTACGAATGTGTGAAGCCTGCGTTAATGTTGGCGGTCGCAATTTTAAGCAGTTCCTGTGATGGTGAACTTTGTTGTTTAATTGCATTTTTTTGATTAATGTTTTCCTTGATTTTATCGATTTATTTTCATTCCATCTCTGACTGTCGTGTTTCCCATCATTTCACGAAAAAAGTATTTTTCGAGCTATAACGTCTTACGACTTTACCATGGATTGTATGATGATTTGTGCCTATCTAGTGGCCTTCCATCAACCCGAAACGTATGCACCATGAGTTTTTTGGACATCCTGTATATGAAATAATTCGTTAGGACATTTATGCGGAGACAGTGTTGTTTGCCACTCTAGTTTTAAAATATCGCAGGTTTATCATTTCAGAGATAAATATCTAATTAATCATAACAGCGAAGACCCAGGTAACAGTGATAACTTCATTCTAAAATTTATCAGTGCTTCGTTTTATTCTTTTATTTTAATAAAATTAATTCAATTTCAAAGTAGGTATCTTTATTATTAAGGGCTTATAATATAATTTTAAACTCATTATCAATTCTTATATCTGAAATCGGGAGAAGATTTATAAAAATTGTACGAGGTATAAATTTAAATATTCTACAATAATCTATACATATAATAAAATAAAAATATAGTGTGTGTGTTTCTGTGTCAGTTCCAGATTGCAGATCCAGATAAAATTACGAAATTCTACAAAAAGCTAAATGAGTACAATTATAAACGAATAACGAAGTCTGATTTTCAAATTTGGTTAGATTTTTAAATTCAACAACATTTAAAAAATGAATGTTTTCATTGGCTTTAAATTAAACTAGAGACTATTCAGTTTTAATAAATATTTTAAAGACATCATTGTTTGCTAGCTTATAGTTCGAATAAAAAAATTTGTTTATTGAGTTAAAAATGTGCTTATAATCTAATTAAAATTCGTTTGTTTATTGAAATACTTCATTATTTTTTATTTGTTATGCCAGATTACTCTGTGATCAACGTGATCGCGATAGCATGGGTGGATTACAATACAAATTAGTATTTCTAATGTAATTTGAAATCATGTGTTTATTTTGTTTGCGGACATGTTCTTAAAACATACTATTATAAAACTAAGCAATTTAAAATCAACGGAATTTGAAATTCAAAAAAATTCTCTATACTGAAAAGCTAGATTAAGGAGAAATGGTATTAATTCGTATGAAGATAAATGTAAAAAAAAGCCGATATTACTACGATAATTTTGGTAATAGTTACTGACTGCAGTAAAGTAATTAAGTTATGCACAAAAGGCAAAATTAATTAAGAAATGGTATACTTATTCGTTTACGAGATTGACGATTTTAACGATTTTTTTTTTTAACAATCTATTATTGACGTCAATGATGCTTAACTGGATAGCCTGGTCAGTGGGGTGCCGGGCCCATGTCCAAGAGTTCATGGGTTCGGTCTCCGCCGGTCAAAGACTCCCCGTGTAGTAAATGGTGACTGATGCACGTTAAATCTGTCGAGTTTCAAAGTCCTCCATATTCCCATAACAAATCAATATCTCTGGGGGTACCGATCCAGGAGTTTCCTTGTCTTCTGGATTGGTTCAAAATTACAAGGTTATGGCGTTGAACATTAGTAGTCGTAAACCCAAAAATTGGGTCGGTTGTTCAACGGCGGTCATAAAATAAAATAAAAAATAATGCTTAACTAATTTTGGTAATAGGTACTAATATAAATAAAATAAAAACTATAAAAATAAGCTATAAGAAATAAAAAATAAGCTACTTAAAAGCAAAATTAATGGAGAAAATGTACTCTTTACAGGGAAGATGTAAGAAGTCTTCTTACTATTATTGACATCAATGATGCATAAATTTTGTAATAAGCACTACTCGCTTGTTTTAAATATTGAAGATAAATGTAGTAAAAAATTTCTTTCTACGAAGAAAATATTTAAATCTATTTCCCCTCACATGTTTAATAAAATAGCAAAGAAATTTAAAAAATAAACCCCTAGCAAAATTTGAACTTTTCTATGCATTTAAATCTAAAAACAATTTTTATCAAATTGTTGTATTTTTATTTTTTAAAATAAAATAATTGTAATCATAAACTTCATGAATTATTTTCCTTTTATGACGATTATAGGAAAAAAAAACTAACATGACTTTTACAGGTATGATAAAAACAGTTGAAAATGGAAAACTTGTTGGATTTAACGTACTTTGGAACAAAGGAGCTTCTTTGACAGCGTGGGTCGGTAAGTAAGATTATTATTATTTTTTCTAATTCTATATGCATTCCAGATTTAAAGTTAATCGCAAAATAAGTGCTTGTTATATTATTACATCTCCTTCACTAGTTTAAAAAACAAGAAGCATGTATATTACCATATAATGAATAATTGGTTTTTGGAAACTCAGTTCGATTTTAAATCCCGAATACGGTTGATTTGATTGTATTTTGTGCAAAGGAGGGAGTAAAATAATTAAAAACAATGTTATTTGTGGTTGAAGCAGAAAGGCAGATCTAAAAAAAGGAATAATAAGAAGAAAAAAAAACTTATTTAAGTTCAATTTGTCAAATAAGCTGTTTTTTGATAGTTTTAACCCTTCTATTGCTTTATTGACCTCGATAATGGGCTATCGTATTGTTTTTTATACATTTCAATATTAGTTTGCGATCACTAATTTGTGTGTTTTTTTACTTCATTATTTTCCATCGATAAATTCTGGATTGTATTTGAAATTACAAGGCTGCGGAGTTGAACATTAGTAGTCGTAAACTCAAAATTGATTCTGCTGTTCAACGACGGTTATAAAATAAAATAAAAATAAAAGAAGCTTTAATGCTTTTGAATTTGCTTTCCATATTGACGAATCGTATGTTTTCTTTAAAGTTTTTCTTAATAACTTGTTTAAATGCTAGCTAGCGAATTAACTCAATTTTGGCAATCCTTATAAACATACATATTATGGGCTGGCATTGCGGAATAACCTATCTAAATATAATGATTTATTTTAGATATTTTGCAATGGATTTTGTCATAAAAATGATCGAATTGTAATTTCAGGAGAGTGTATTGTTTGTGGTGGAAGGGAAAAAATCTTCACAACATGGGTTTTGCGTTCTTATCAACCAGTTAAAAAAAGATGGATGACTACCAGAATCAACCAGGATACATTTTGGAGATTAGAGAGTGCAGTAGAAGAGGCAAATCAAGTAAGCATTAATTAATATACTATACAGGGTGTCCAAAAAGAATGGAAACGGTTGAAATTTTTCAAGAAATGAGTCTTGGCTAAAATATCTTAAAATACTCGTGTTAAATACTTTCAAAAGATGCATGTTTAGCGATACCAAATTAAAATCTAGTTTTCCTCAATTCCTGGGACGCCTAGAGGGGATCGAATGTGGAAATTCGCCCTCCTTTCCCCATATTCGTTAGTCGAAATTTAAAGTGCGTATTCTTTTATTTATTTGTTGAGATTTAGATGATTTCTTTTGTTCATGCATAAATAGGAAACAGTTATAAAACATTACTAATTTAATCGGCAGTTATATTTATTTAGCTGTCAATATACTGGCAAAAAACGTGTTTCAAAACTCATTAAGATTTTATTTAAATACATTAAATCTATACATTTGATATGTAGGTTAACTTTAACCTTATTGAAAAATTGTGTCATCAATCACAATAAAGAAAAATTAACTCAAAAATCAAGAAATTTTTTTTAAAAAAAAGAACATTTAATGTCATTTTTACGACATTTTCCCTCTTTTTCTCTGAAACTGACTGAGTGAGTCGCAAGCTATTTGTCTAAAACGATAAAACTAATTTAGCAAATCATAGTTTTATAAATATTTTTAATTCTAAATTTATTTATCTTATTACTCACAGTAAAAACAAAATTAAAAAATAATCAGGGAAAATTAAAAAAAAAAACGCACTGTCATTTTTAGGACGTTTTTCTTTTCCCTTTTATCTCTGAAAAGTGCGCGAATCACAATCTTTTTGTATAAAACGAAAAAATAAATATACCAAACGATAATCTCCTAAATATTTTTGGTTACAAATTTAATGGTAACAGAAATTTTCTCGCTATTAGAACAAATTAAAAATATAATTTATTTGAGAAACTATGCAATTTTTACATCAAGATTAAAAATTTGAATCTCCATTCTCGAATTAGGTAAAATCAAGTACATGCGTAAATGAAACAAAAAATGAGTGTTATTTGTGTTCGAGTTCAAAATCAGCTTTCTATTATCATTAATTATTTCCTTTCATAGGTTCTTCAAAGCTCTGTGAGAGACGGTTCTGTATCATCTTCAGGTAATTATTGTTCTGAATTAACGTTCTTTAATCTTAGTGTTTAACATTAAACATGCTATAATAGGTCAAAAGACCGGTCATTGTATATTGCATTTTATTGTAAAAAGTGAGTATGTTCAGTGTTGGTATGTTTAGTGTTAACTAAACTTATCGAAAACAGTAAGTAGTAAACCATTAAGAAGAGCCAAAATAAAGGCAATAAGTTTGCGTTACTTTTGTAACTTTATTAAATTATGCAGCTTTTATGTGTAGTGTTCCATAAATTTCTTCAAGTTTTAGTTTTAAGATATAATTTTACAAGTGTAATTTTCAATCGTACGATTTACGTTAACATTATGCTGATAAATATTTTATTTTGGATTTAGCTGAAAAGGCAATGTTAAAGAAATAGACATAGCTTCATACAAGTATTTGAAAAACAAGAATGGATATAAGTGAAAAGCGCGTACAATTAAACGAACAAAGCTTAATGCTTACGTTTGCAAAAAATACTCGACAGCTTTGCCCAGGGGAAGAGTGTTCGCATTCCAGAGAGGTTACCCAGGTTCAAGTTACAACGGTGGCTGGTTTATACGAATTCTGCTCAACCACATTGGTGACGTAAAATATCCTCAGTGGTAGATGGATCATGAGTTAGAATCCTCTCCTCGTGGGCTGATCTTGGAGAGTTTTCATGGTTTTTCTCTCCATGTAAAGCAAATGTGGGTTAGTTTCATCAAAAAATCTTCCTTGACAACTTGTTTGTCCCAATGCTTGATCCAAGAGTTCCCCTTTCCATATTACGAGGCAACTCCGTGGAATTGTAATTTGTGTTCAAAATTACAAGGCCACGGACTTGAAGATTGATAGTCGCCAACTTACAATTGTGTTAACTGTTCAACGGTGGTTAGTAAATAAAACGTTAAACAGGGAACCAAATTTGTAACACCTACGTAACTTTTGAAGAAATTCGCATATAAGATCGATTTTGCTTAATTTATTATTAAAAAATTACGAATAATCGCAATTCACTAATAAATATATAGCACAGATATACAATATTACAAATAAAAATATAATACTCATAACAGTAGTAAATAAAATCTTAAATTAAATGCGATTTCCATTTCCTTAAATAACTCAATTTTCTTTAGAGCTCATTTTGAGCCATGTCCATTTTTCAAGCGAAAATATCAAGCTAGACCTCTTTTCTTAAAAGCGCATTCTAACAATATTATTTTTTTTAAAATACGTATTTCAAGATTGACCTTTTTCTTCAATGCGTCCTTTGAGTTTAGTCCAAAATAATAAGTTCACCAATGACGACAACATGTACACGACTCAGTAAATTCAAATAAAAAGGCACTATTTATAGGCAGAGCTAATGCATTTAAAATCTTTCATTGTTAAATGAACTCCAACATGATTTTTTTTTTGGCTTTCATTTAACTTACGGTTTAAATGAAAAAAATTCAGTTTTTATACTAAAATTTTATGCAATTTTCAATAATTTCAATAAATTGAGACTTCTGTTTTCAGGACTTCAAGGAAAGTGGAGATCTAACTCTGGAGATTCTTTCGACATTACTGAGGTTCAAGAGCAGGGCACTTGGAAAGGTAAATAATATGAAAAGAAAGTTTGTTTCTTACCTTAATTATGTAAGATGTAATGTTTCTTACATTACATTGGTTTCTTATTTCTCAAACAGTAATTTTCTAAGTGATCGACGCATTAAATAATATTTGAAGCCCAAATTTCCTGCAGACTTTAATCATAGCCAAAAATTATTTGCAAACTAAAATTTAAAAATGATTGTAAAAACGCAACTGCTATTGTTTGTTATATAGTAAGCAAAATAAGAAATAGACCACCCTGAATAACTCTTGATCCTATAATCTGATCTTCACGTTCTAGAACGGACTCAATAGTAATGGTTCGAAAGAGTGAGTCTCAGATATGCTAATTTATTAGTATAGACGATATTTTAAGATACAAAATCAGCCAACCGGCCTGTGTAGGGGGCAGGGAACTGTCCTTGCATCAGAAAGGTTCTGGGTTCGAATCCCGGGCAAGGCGTGGATGTTCTTTCCTTCTCCATACTATCTGTTCTCACTGTGGGAGCGACGTTGACCCACTTAATATGGTACCCCTGAAAGAGAGGCAAGCAAAAATCGCCCTGTATATGCCTGAACTGACGGATGTTAACACAGGTGGGCATTGGAAAAAAAAATACAAAATCAAACACAAAAACGCACTTACTCTGAATAAACATAACTTATTTTTCGATGGCTTCAGATTTCTGACTAACGAAATATAATGGGTAGCTGAAATCTGGGAAATATGCTCCCAATAGTTTAGTAAAGAGAGCGCTCTAATGTTTGGACCCCTTAATGTTATTTTTACTTTTTGCAACCATTATATCAAGTCATTCGCCGGCCTGGTGGCCGAGCGGTTAGCGTGCCTGACTGCGAAGCCATAGGCTGCGGGTTCGGATCCCGCTCTGGGCATGGATGTTTCTCTCTCTCTCTCTGTGCTGTCCTCTGTTGTGTGTGTGTATGATGTGTGAATGTGGCCCCCCCCTATAAACGGGTTTGTGGCAGTGTGGCGTGGGCAATGTTGCTCGCCTCCGCGACTTTGGTTCACAGGTGCCCACTGGGTAACGCGAAATGAGCAACAATTCTGGCATAGTATAGGCAAAGATTCAAATTCAGTGCCTGCCATTGGGAAAAAAAATATCAAGTCATTCACGGTGGTTCAATTTTTTTTCTGCACTCTATACATAAAACTGTTTGCTTTGCTTTCTTTAAACTATGAATTTTTTTTCTCGGGAGTATAACCTCCGAACAAATTCAAATATGATCAAATTTGGTGCCATTTCGACTGTTTGACGTCACAAATGCCTCTGATTAGGCTCCGTTTATTATTTGTAGTACTTCATTTTTCTTGTGTTTGTAAAAATAAAATAACTCTCTTTATTTATTAGGCACGCACAATGGGGATGGACAAAATGGAGTGGTGGCAGCTGGAAGATTCGATGGCAACCAAACATATACAGCTCTTGGTTTCATTGCTGCATCATCCAACAAAATTAGAGGTTGGACTGGTGAGTATTTCAGTTCTAAACAATTATCATAAGACTTGATTTCCATATACTGACTTGAAGTATTGCATGTAGCAGCTGTAGATCTAGTGTAATTCAAAGTCTACTCATATAACAAAGGCCCACTTTGGCTTTTGATATTAACATAAATATTTAAACTAATTTTAAATGAAAAATGTTGATTTTATGGAACAATTATTTGTTTATCCATATTAGATCGTCTAAAGATTTAATCAAACGAGCATTTTGCTCTTAGAAAGCATCACATTTTTGGATTAAAACAAAACTTTATTATTTACCTGCACGGCGCCACACTGCAAAAAACGTTCTGCCGGTCTAGGGTTGCATTATTTTTTATGTCGACTTGGCGATGATTTTATTCGCCACAATTTTTCTTGTATTTTTGTTCTGCAATGTGCAGTGCGCAAAATAAAAAACGGATCACGATGAATAATTTATAATCTATGATCAGATCTTTATGTTCTAAGACTCAATCTTAATGGTTCAAGAAGGCGATCTGAAATATGCTAATTAATTACTGTAGACGATATTTTAAGTTCACAGACCAGATACAAAAACTTATTTTCTCTGAATAAATATAGCCCTGCTTTTTTCCCAGTCTGATTCGTATTTTTGACCTCAAAAATGAAGGAGGTATCTGCAATCTGAGAAATATAGTCACAATAGTTAGGTCAGGAGAGGGGTCCAAAGTTCCGACCTTTTTATGGTTAACTTAATTTTTTGGGTATTTCTCATATCTCGAGAAATTCTTCAGTGAATTGAAAATTTCTGTCAAGAGAAATTTCTGCCTCGATCAAGATATTGATTACGCGCTAATCTTGGCAAACTAAATGATTGTTCTGGAAATTTCGAGTTTCAAAGCAGTAGGACCAATATTTTATTTTATAATCGTCGTTAATCGTTTATAATCGTCAGGTTTACGATTACTAATATTCACCTACGTAGCCTTGAAAGTTTGAAGCTAATCCAGAAGAGAAAGAAACTCCTGGATCAAGTATTGGGAGAAATTTGCCAACGTGGAGGATTTTTTGATGGAACTAATCCTCTTTTGCGCTACATGGAGAGGAAGACCACGAGAACCTCCCACGTTTGCCTAAAGACAAGAGGCCTCTAACCCACGATCCGACTACAACTGAAGATATTTCACGTCAGCACTGTGGTCAGTGCAAGCTGGATTTGGAATTCCTACCGACCAGCCATTGCTGGGATTCGAACACGGTTCCTCTCATTGGAATGCGAACGCTTTATCCCCTGAGCCATCACTGCTCTAAGACCAACAACTAAAAAGTTGTGCGAGTTTTCTTCTACAGTTGTGTTGAAGGTTTCGGGGCATCGTCACTTAGCCTATATAAATAAAAGTGTGCCTCGCAGAGTAGAGATTATTAATCTGCTTGTGTCAGGCAACAGTGTTCTGGTCTGCGAGTTTCTAGTGAGTTCATTGAACTGTCTGCGGCTTCAAAGCCAGTGTTTTGTGTTCTACACTGTCATTCGAGACAAAAATAACTGTATTTTCTGAAAGATCGGAGTACTGTTTAATACATCTCCAATCAAAACGAACCTCTGTGTGAAACAATATCAAAGTAATGTTGAACTTTTAGAAGAAAAATTTTCAAAAGTTACATCAGTTTTATTTTAATGTTTCAGGCCACATTGATGATCCTCAATCAACAGTTACGAAGGTCTTAGAAACTTCTTGGCTGGAGCACACTTTCAACCAAAACTGTAATAATCCGAGAAAATTTGTTAACTTTGGTATTGACAACTATTCCAGGTCTTAAACTCGTAAGTACCCAACAGATTGTTTTTTAAAAATTGTATTTTTCTTTCTTGTGAGTGTTCATTAATATAAATACATTTAATTTCAGGTTAAGCAGGTGATTTGTTTGATATTTGAAATTGTCACTATTACTGCAAAAACTTGTATGTTTTTTGAATAAAATACATTTTTTTCATAGTTTTGTAAAGTTTATTTTCGTAAGTTTTTGTAATTTTTACACTGCTCTGATAATTAGACTATAATTTGCAACCGCAATAAACTTTCAGGCGATTATTTGTTGAGTCTTTAACCTTAAAAATCATTTTAGTTTCATGACTTCCATTTTCAAATTTGCTGACCAGTTTCACGAAACGTATTCAACATTTCAATTTTACCACTTAAGAATTTGATTCAGTTATCAAAAGGTTAAAATTGGAAAATGAATTTCTTTCGTCCTTAGTTCAAGATCTAACTAAAAAATTAGTAGTAAAATTTCCACACAATTAATTTTTGAGAACTCATTCCTTTACCTTTCTAATATAATATTCTAAGAACAGAAATCCTTCGCAGAGATTATTTAACAGAAATCATTTTTTTAAAAAACTAATTAAAGCTGTGAGTATTATATGGTGCCCCTGAAAAAGCTGGGAGCAGAATTTGTATCAATTCGCTGTAATTCGAATCTGGGAGATCTCATTAGGTAGATAAAGCTTTATCCCTGAGCCATCGCGGCTCTAGTTCTTGTTATTGTTCATTTACGTCGCACTAGAGCTGCACAATGGGCTATTGGCGACGGTCTGGGAAACATCCCGGAGGATGATCCGAAGACATGCCATCACAATTTTGATCCTCTGCAGAGGGGATGGCACCCCCGCTTCGGTAGCCCGACGACCTGCACGCGAAGTCGAGCACTTTACGGTAGAACAGTTTAACGAGGACCCATACCGCACACCCTCGGTCCCTACGCAGGCTAATCCAAGTGGTCACCCACCCGCACACTGACCGTAGCCAGTGATGCTTGACTTCGGTGATTTGCTGGGAACCGTGTCTTAACGATCAGTCCACTGCGGGACCCACCGCGGCTCTAACTTCCAAAATTTGAAAGAATGCTAAAAATATATTTTATCATATTTACGTGTTTACTGTCTTCTATTCTGCACATTTCTAAATAAAAATAGTATTTTCTGCCATTCTTTAAAACTTGGATTTTAGGAAGTTAATGTGGCAAAAAGTATCAATTCCGAGAGTTTTTTTTCCTATTTTCTCCCTTTGTTTAGCATTCTTTTAAATGATGGTAAAAGATAAGGAAAAAAACCCTCTAAGAATCGATACTTTTTGTGTNTTACGTGTTTACTGTCCTCTATTCGGCACATTTCTAAATAAAAATAGTATTTTCTGCCATTCTTTAAAACTTGGATTTTAGGAAGTTAAGGTGGCAAAAAGTATCAATTCCGAGAGTTTTTTTTTTCCTATTTTCTCCCTTTGTGTAGCATTCTTTTAAATGATGGTAAAAGATAAGGAAAAAAAACCTCTAAGAATCGATACTTTTTGTGTATTGATACTCTATCCCCTTAGCCAAGATCCAAGTACCATGATTTGAAAGAATGCAAAAAAAAAAAAAAANAGTTCCCGAGATATCGCGAAGTACAAAAAAAAAAAAAAAAAAAAATCGCATATGCGGGTTTACTTTCTTCTAATCTACACATTTCTAAATAAAACTAACATTTTCCGTCATTCTTTAAAGCTCGGATCTCAGGAGGTTAAGGTGGCAAAAAGTATAAATTCTGAGAGTTTTTTTTCTCTTTTTCCCCCCCTTGCATTTTACATTCTTTTAAATGATGGTAAAAGACAAGGAAATAAAAAACACAAAAAACCCTCTTAGAATCGATACTTTTTGTTGTCGTAACTTCCTGAGGTTCAGAATTTAAAGAATGGCAGCAAATGTGATTTTTGCTCAGAAATGCGTAAATCAGAAGATTGTAAACCAGTAAATACGACAAAATATTATTAAAAAACACTCAATTATAATTTACATTATTTAGTCATTTTTATTTCCGACATGAAAAAAGATAAATTTCAATATTTAGCATATTTTTATTGTGTGTTCTTTCCTACTTTAATCTTGAAACAAAATCCATTCAACTTAAATAATTAGATATTTACGTGCCATTAAACTGCCCAAAAAGTAGTAAGAATCAAATTTTTTTTAATCATTCTAATATTTGAAAGAAAAAGTAATAAAAAAAATTTTAAGTTATAAAAAGCATTTATTAAAGATTTAATTTACTTCATTAAGTACAGCATTTCACATAAAATAGAAATGAAACAAATATACCATCCAACAAAACATAATTCATAAAAAATATAAAACTAAACACATTTTCCAAAAATAAAAATACAAATCAGATCTGTCCAGCTGTATACACCGGTATAAATTGTAAAAAACAAATTATTATCTTCTATTTATATTAAAATGGATTTTAGATGAACACAAGACTAGGAGATTTATAAAATAAAAATACATAAAATGAACAAATAAAAGGTCACTCTTCTGAGACTGATAAGCACAATAGCATTATAGATTTTTTTTCAAATTCTAAAAACAAAACGTGTATGTATGAAACTTAATAACATTTAAAATTAAATCAAATTCATTATTTCTTAATTAAAATTTTTTTTATCTTCAATGTTTGAAGAATTTGTAACTGTCACTTAAACTATTGTATTCATAGAGATTTAGAAGATAACAATTACATCGTTTGATTGATATTTATCCAAGGCGTTCTGTAATTACCTCGCTTAATATTTAGTATCCTTGTCAAAAATCACCAAATTAATATAAGTGAAATCACTATCATAATCACAATCACTTTTATATTTTTAAATCACTTAATATAATAGCAAGTATGTATAAGTGATAAAAATGCAAAAACTTAAACAAAATCTAACCAATGACAACTGAGGAATGTGAGATTAAAAATATGAAGAGTAATTTGTTTGCACCTTGAAGCTTGAAAGTTTTTCTAATAGCTACATTTCACCTCCTTTTACTTCTTCTGACATTTGAAATTTCTTTTCTTTTTTTATTTTGATCAGCCTTAATGATTAGTCAAAATGTTTAAACATTTTTTTTAGATATTAAATTTTGAATTTGTCGACTCATAGTTTTCAATTTCATTTTTTACAAAGACTCCTAAAAGGAATATAAATAGCTGTCGCTAAAGAACACCCTTTGTCTATTCACCTCAGTTCGCAAATAAAGAAAAAGTCAGTATTTTTACCAGATCCAAATTCGAGTGGCTTTAAAAAATTTAAACGTTTTTCAGCCTACACAACTGTCTTGTATTTGCTTAAACTGTCTATAATTTTGCAGACAAGTCTTTTGTAAATAAATAAACATTAAAAAATAAGTGCTTAACTTTTAAGTGAATGTTTAAGGGGTTAAAAATAGCAAGAAAAATTGCAGCTAAAAAAGAAAAAAAAAACAATATTCTTTCCAAGTTTTAAAACAAAACTAATGCAAAACAAATTTTTAACACAGTTCAAAATTTGTAAATCGTGCTATAATTACAATGAAACAATAAAATAAATGCAAATTCATCGTACCTACAAAATATATTTACAACTTTAACCCACATGATAGAATTTTAAACATATATACAAACACAACCTATGCAAAAGTATTATACTTTTTTGATTTTCTTTTTGGAATTTGTGAAAACACCCAATATCTCTGATGAACTTGTACAGCAAGAAATGAGTAACTTCTCACAATGTTGCCACACGTGGTAACTAAACTAATAAAATTATGTCAATGAGTAATTTTAGGAAAGCTTATCACAGTCTAATAAGGTCCAGATCCTAAATATTTACCACGAAGTATCCTAAAACGATCTCTTTGATAATTTGTTCACTTCAGTTCGATTAACTAAGTAATTTTATTTTCCTAAATGGACATATTTCTGTATAAGATGAACCATGAGAAAATGGACGCCAAAAGGATGATGGGACTAGAAACAACGATGCTGCTCCAACTGAAGATAGGACAGTAAGGGCACTGATAAGACCCACAAACTTGGCAGATGCTGAGCACGAACAAATTGTATACATCGAACATCGTTTCGTTAAATCGCTCTGAAATAGAACAATAAAAAGTAAATAAAATAATGTCACATAGGCAAGAACAATAAATTAAAAAGTTTATACTTAATGGGCCATAACCGGCAGAGTTATATCGTTATTTTTAAATTTTGTGTGCCAACTAATTTCATTGGTGCAATAAAGAAGGTTCGGTAATCGATACCGATCTTAATATATACATTTTAAAATACTTGCTAAAATGAAATAAAATACGATTTTTTCAAAATTCGATATCTCAGAAACTATTCGACCGAATTCACTCAATTTTTGTATTTTGTCATTTAATATTGTATTCTTTAAAATTATTTAAAAAGCTGATTACTTTACAATATTTTTCCGATTAATATTGAATAAAATAATAAATATGTACTAAAAATATTTCCTTTCGTAGAAAAAATTTTTGATAAACAAATTTTAGAGTAGTGTTCAATAATTGTTCCATTCGCTTCAAAAGTTCTCGAGATATGACACAATATGCAAAAAAAAAAAAAAAAAAAAAAAAAAAAAAAAAAAAAAAAAAAAAATAATAAATAAACATTAAGGGTTCAAAATTTTGGAGAACCTTCGTGACAAAATTATTGGGACCATATTTCCCAGATTGCAGCTACTCCCCGTACCCGTCGAAAAAAAGGTACTAAAGAAAGGTACTAGAGAAAGTACGTTTTATTGACTGATTTCGTAACTTAAATTGTCGTCTACACTAATACATTAGCATTTGAGGTCACACCCCAGACCTCACTTTAAGATTGAGTTGTGGAATGTGAATTGATATTCAGCGTGGTCCGTTTTTCATTTTGCGTACTGTTTTTAAGTAGATGTATTTTTTTATGTAAATTAAAAATTATATGTTAAAGATAGACTTCATAGAAAACTTTAATTTTTACTCGCGTCCCCAAATAGACGCACTGTTAAAAAAGCTTTAATATATAAAATAGTATCACTTGAAACTAGCCTTTAGTAAAATAACTAACTAGTCCTTAATAAAGTAACTGAAAATCTGAATAAACTGAAACTGAACAGAAATGATTTTAAAAAATGAATGCTTATCGAAAGATTACGATTTGTAATTTAATTAGTGTTAACATAAATGATATAAATTGATTTCTTTTTCTAAACATAACTGGCATCTACATAACATAACTGGCAGATATATTTTAATTACTCACCTGGTGCGTAGTAATCATATACTCGCACAGGTAACCATCTAGTCATGTTTGCAACAGGGTACCACCTCTGAATTTTGAAAGACACACATGTACTATGTTGATCAAGCTTTATGAAAAAAAAAGAAAACAGTTACCAATGAAACATGATATTTAAATATTTTATTAGATAATAGTTATAATGGTCTTGTAGCTAGCAATTTGCCAAATTAAAAGAACACAATTAATGCAAACTAGGTTTCACATGGATGTGTAACAATACATACGTATATGTGACCGGCAAAGTATGAAATATGAGAAGTATTACATACTTTGTCTAGGCATTCTATATAAAGCCGGATGCTATCTAGGCAAAGTATGAAATAAACGTCCTGATGAGGTTATTATGTAAATGATGTGCATGTTACTGTGAATGACCGAAATCGGTGGTTGTTGACTTTCACCAGTGAATGTTGACAATCACAAAATCGCTTTGGTGAATGTCCGAAATATTTATTACATCCGATTTCATATTAATTTAAGCGTGGATATAATTACATTTATTCGATATTTTAATACTTACTGACAATATATAAGAATAGAAGAAACATCAGTGTAGGGTATACCGGGCAGTGGCCCTTGACCTTAAAAAAACATCAGTGTAGGGTATACCGGGCAATGACACTTGACCTTAAAAAAACCATTTCCCGGTATATCCTACACTGATGTTTTTTTAAGGTCAAGGATCACTGTCCGGTATACATTTGCCCTGTATACCCTACACTGATCTTTTTTTAAGGTCGAGGGCCACTGCCCGGTATACATTTGACCGATCCTCCAAACACTTATGTTTCTTCTAATCTATCGTCAGTAAGCATTAAAATATAGAATAAATGTAATTATATCCACGAATAAATAAATATCAAATCGGATGTAATAAATATTTCGGACATTCACCAAAGCGACTATGTGATTGTCAACATTCATCGGTGAAAGTCAACAACCACCGATTTCGGTCATTCACAGTAACATGCACATCATTTATATAACCTCATCAGGACGTTTATTTCATACTTTGCTTAAATAGCATCCGGCATTATACATAATGCCGGATTTCATACTTTGTCGGTAACATATATAATAAATTCCAGGAATAATAGTGATTTCTTTAAAATTATTTTTTACAGCAATCTCGTTTTCCCACCAAACGCTATTTAAAACAGAGGTAGCGGATTCGAATCAAAACGTAACCATGGTTGTGTAATAGTAAAACAGTTAACTTGATACAGCTCTCACGACGTTTCACAAATGCGGCAACTAGTGATATCCATTCATCGAATTCTATCCCTGATAAAATTCTGGTGAAGAAGCATTGTGGCGTAACTACCACTACAATTATTAAACATCAATTCACTATTATATAAATCATGCTAACTCAGTTAACCTAGACGTACCTTTTGACAAACAAAGGATAACATGGGCGATATCTCGTTTTCCCACAAAGACTGGAACCTACTCAGCTTAAGGTAGATGGTTACTAGCTTAAGATAAAAGTAATAACGGCATGAGCACAATCCTAAACATACTTTTTCATTTTATAACAGCCGACCCATTTTTGGGTTTACGACTACTAAACTCCGTAGCCTTGTAATTTTGAACCTAATTCAGGAGTAAAGGGAACTCCTGGATCAAGTATTGAGAGATTGCCTTCGTGGAGGACTTATTGATGGAACTAACCCACATTTACGTAATAGGGCGAGGAAAACCGCGAAAACCTCTCACTTTTAGCCCGACGGCAAGGGGACTCTAACCCATGATTCGTCTTCAATTAAGGATATTTTACGTCAGCACTGTGGTCGGTGCAAACGGGTTGCGGAATTCGTACCGACCAGTCATCGCTGGGATTCGAACCCGGTTCACCTCATTGGATGGAGAACGCTCTATCCCCATGGTTCATCTAAACATATTGCTTCAATCCTGCCATTGGTCTCTAAACTGTGCCACCTTAACATCCATGACCCCCTTGATGCGGGAATGCTTGAATTTCAGTTAGTACTTAGAATAGAGGGGAAAATGTAAATGTGTAAACCTTATGAGGCACACGGCTTATTTAAACTTTTTTTTGACAACATTTGGCTAATTGCTAGCTGAAAAAATAAAGGAAAATGTCAAAAAGTGAATAACAGTTACTTACATAGTTAAAATAAAAAGAGACTTTTCTCTCATCGTAACGAGCCTCTCTGAGATTCCTAACTCTTCCGGAGTGTACATAAGTATCCAAGTCTTGTTGCTGAATGACATATCCTGTCGGTATACTGACTTCCAGTACTGCCATACCACTCTTTTCACTTTCTTCTAAGTAAGTCCACCTTAAGGAACAAAAGTTATTATTTAGATGCTGTTATTTAAATTTCTTATTTAGATGCTGTTGGCGATTGAAATGGGCTACAGGTGTCGTAGAGCAGAATTCTCTACCTTTGGCAACATTTCACATGCTTTCACCATTAGCGTGTGGAGAATCATAGCAGAAGGAAGTACGTTTGTTTCATTCTTGATTTTTAAATAGATTGAAAATTTTTAAGTTCTGAAATTATTTTGTACTCTGAAAACTATATTGAATATTGTTCTAAAAGAAAGCATCGTGAAAGTTTTAAAAAAAAATTTCGAAGTTAAATACGAAAAATATTAAAAAAGGGAAAAGTATCGAATCGGAATTAATGTTTTTTTTTTTGTTTTTTTGAAGTTAAATACGAAAAATATTAAGAAAGGGGAAATTATCGTAGTATCGTAAAACTGAGAAGAGATGGAGAGAGAAGGGGGAAGATGGCGTTTTCGAATGTTGAGATCGCGAATATATCTTAGAAAACTTGAGAAAAATGAAAATTCTAATTTTTTAATCAAGAAAAAGTAGTGTTTTTTATTTTTAAAATATAGGCTTAATAAAAATTCGATTTTGCAAAACGTAGATAAAAATGGCTTTTGCATGTTTCGGTATTGTAAAGATTCCATTCCTGCAGATTTGATTTACAAAAACAGCTGATTTTATAATGCGGGGATTTTTTTTGGCGTATTAATTTTCTAATTTTAATCTGAATAATAATAATAAAAAACTCATGCATACCTTTGACATGAACTGATTTCAATATGGGAGCTATTTCGTCCGTAGTAGTAACCTCTCACTTGGAGTGCAAAAGCTTCCACTGGTGGAGGTGTTTGTAAGTGAGGCCAGTCCACATTGTACTGTATCGACAATTGAACTAAAGCAACTCCCGATCCCTGAGCTCGCACGAGAACAACACCCCAAGCATTATCAATCTGTAATGAAATACAATAAAGACATTAATAATATTAAATTAAAAAAAAAACACTTCTGAAAATCTTTACTTACTTCAAATTTCTGTTGTTTTGATAGATTATCATCTCCTATGTGTAACTGTTTCACGAAGCCAGGCACTGATGGTACTTCAATGGTAACTGTTACATCAACAACATCACGTATACGAGACTGGATTGCATGTTCTATTAATGCTTGCATTGCAACGATAGAATCCTAACGTACGAAAAGACAGTGACTATTCAATAAATTGTGAAATCATGTAAAATGTAAAATTATGAATTTATGTTAAATATAAATTTAGAAGATAGCAATAGACTATATTTTTCAATATAAAATAAGATTTATTATATTTTCCATATTATGACTAATTAGCTATCTCTTAATTGATAATAGCTATCCTAATGGATGATAACTATCTTAGTGGATGATAACTATCCTTGCATACAAGTTATGTATTAAAAGTCTAATGGTCTTATTTTTTACTATTAATCAAAATGAAATTAAATGCTAATGTCATTAAACCCATCAATAAATCATAACTAAATGAGAAGATTGATACTAAATAATTTAAATATAAGCCATAGAATACTAAAATTAGTTTTTAATAACGTATTTATTTAAAACAATGTTAAGCAGACAGATAGCATAAAACATATATTAGACCAAGTGAGTCTTAATTAGTTATGGATTGATTACGCCAACCATGTACTATGGGCATCAGTATTATTATTTTACAGTCGAACTAGTTTATTTTGGGTAAGGATTTAGTAAAGATAATTTTAATAAATGATTAATTTACTGTTATAAAGACCTAAATGAAACCCTGTTTCTACGAGCACAACGCATATTTAATAAAAAGTTTTTCCTAAACCTCTTGAAAATTATTTTAGTGGAGCTGTCAGAAAACACACGACTATTCATAGAAATTTCATTCTTCATGAAAGCGTTTTAAAAACATTCTTTTATTTTACTAGTTCAAAATTTGTTTATCAATAAAAGAATAGTAAAGAGAAATTATGTAGTTCCGCAGATAACTTTCAGGGCTGCCAACTTCATACGCTAGTAAAAATTTATTCTTGTGTTAGCTGTTTATGCGCATTGTTTATTATTCATTTAAACTTGTTTCCCACACCATTACATATAAATGAGTTAAAAGTTCATAAGCAATGCCACTTTGTTCCACCTCTTTCGTATTGAGGCTTTTAAAATGTTAGCAAAATTACCAAAAATTCTAAAAGCTTTGGTTTTTTTAATGTCTCTACTCTATAAAATATTTTGCAAAAAGCGTAGTAGTTGGTAGGCCTGAACTTGCCATGAATCGCACAATAGCAATAATTAATAAAATATGTTATGTAGATGAATAAATCGACTATTGCCCATGTGTTTGTGTGCCTAATCAAATGTTACACACTGTTGCAAGTTAAGAAAAAAAACCATTATCCCTATGGAGAGAGCCTGTTTACATCAAAGTGCACGCTAAATGTTCGCCAAGCTCCAAGCGAAGCGAATATCAACATGCTGCCTTTTAAACTTTTTCTAATTCATTTTTGTGCTTTATAACTTTCATTTTTGATCATTTCGACTTTGTCTCCGTTGTAAGTAGCGCTTTCATTTAGCAGATAAATTGTAAAAAAAATTTCCTTTTAAATTTTTGTGAAGTAAAATTAATATTTTGCTCAAAAATATAAATAATGAAAGCACTAAATATTGTATAAAATACTATTTTTTTTTTTTAATAATGAATACATAAAAACAAATAGAATGAATTGGATGGCCTACTCGATTCGAATGAGTGATGAAATAAAAAGATACTGTGTTTTAGAACTACTGGGGGGAAAAAATCGGTGAAGGCCGCGGTAAAGATGGGATGACTCGGTGGAATCTGATTTCCTTTCAATGAATGAAAAGAATTGGAGATCAAAGATAAATCGGAAGTCGTTATGGAGAAATATTCAGAGGAAGGCATTGGCCCACATTGGGCTGTCTGGCCAGCTATGATGATAATGATGATGACTATTTTAATTAAATCTATGATATTAACAAAGATTTTCAGATCAGCCACTTGTTTTTGTAAAGGTTTATTTTAAATGTTGTTAATAAAATAAAATCTTATTTACCTGAGTGGAAGCCCATCCACCAACTGTCAGTCTTTGTGAGTTCAACCATTCAACAATCTCCCTTTGTATGACAGCATTCCGTTCAACGTGTACCAAGAGACCGTATCCAGTGGCCTCTATACTAGAAGCATCATACTTATCTGGTAGACGAGAGATTATGTAGGGACGGGTGTTTTCGATTTTGACTGTTTGTCCTTTCACTCTTTCGCGACCCCAATAACGCATTCCACCTAGAACATCGAAGGAACATTGTTAAAAAGACGTTTTTTAATCAAAATTTTATCTTAAACTGCAATGTAGAGAAAAAAAGAATGGTTGGTGTCTTATGCCACTTGCCAATACTTTTTTTTTTTATTTCCAATGAGCTGGGATTCAATTCAATTATGGGATCGAACCCGCAAACTTGTGCTCAGAAGGCCGACGACAAACCAACTGCGCCACCCAGCCACACTTGCCAATACTAATAAACCTATTTTAAGGAAGAGGGGAGGGCTTTTCCCTGTTTTCCAGTGGCGCCATCTATGGTCAAGAATTCAACTTCTGCTTCATACATGCGTAGCAGCCCGTTTTACAAGGAGCACACATTCACACACCATCCATCCATCCGCAGATCGTAATTTTGACCTGAACTAGCACGATCAATATCAGATCCAGTACCTTTAGAGGTATTGATTTATTATGAGAACTTGGTGGACTTTGTGACCCTACTAGATTTTTTTAGAACCGTCGTTGAACAGCCGACCTAAATTTTTAATTTACGATTACCAATATTCAACTCAGTACCGCCAGTGATATTGATTTGTGATGGAAACTTGGAGGATTTTGTGACCCCGACAGACTTAACGTACACCAGTCACCATTTAGTACACGGAGATTCTTCAGCCGGCGGGATTCAAGCTCGAGAATCCAACGCCTTACCAACCAGGTTATCCTGGCCCTACCCAAGAGATTTATCAAGCACCAGTCAACATTTTGTACATGGCGAGTCTTCATCCGGAGGGGATCGAACACATGACTCCTTGGACACGGGCCTAACGACCTACCAACCAGGCTATCCTGGCCCAGAAAAAAATTAAATTTTAATTCAAAAATATAAAAAGCATTGAGACTTAATATGCGAAAAAAATAAGAGCACTTTGATCTATCATACATAGACAGTAAACGCGCAATAGTTTTTCTGATAAAACATTTTCCCCATTAATTTCTATTTCATTAAAATTTAAAATTAAAAATTTAACATTTTTTTTCATTTGTGTTCATTAGAATTTAACATTTGTCGAAGACTTTCGAAAATTGGGAAGTACTTTTAATGCTTGGGTAATAATTTGAAATCCTTAGCACGGGCCCTGCGTTTAAAGAAAACTAAAAAGTTTTAGCAGGTACTATAGATTTCCGCAACTTGGTGGCTAACTATTGCACTATTATCAGGCTTCTGTTTAGAAGAAATTTGGGTCTGTTAACGGACCCTTCACAAAATATCTTTTCATAAAAACGGACTCTTCACAAATTTGTTTATCTTCATTATTGTTCTGTTAATCGAATAAACCCTTCCCAGGAAGGGGGGAAAGAAAGACAGATGTGAACGAACTAAATTTTGTCTTCGGCAGACGCTTCTTCCTTTATTCGTTCGAAATGAATATTCTGCGTCCAGCAGTATAGGCTAAATACCAAATATTTGTATGTTGCATCGCTAATTTAGTAGCTGCAATTGCTGTTTATTTTTTAAAATTTAATTTTTTTAATTATAATTTTACAGTGTTGAGCATAATCTTGTATGTCTTTACAATTTAAAAACTCATTGAAAAAGTTTTTTTGCAGTAATGGACCCTATTTGCACAAATTCACAAAAGCGGACCCTGGTTGAAAGAATGTGACTTAACGTTTATTTTATATTCACAAATTACGAGTAATTTTTTCACAATTTTACAAAAACGGACCTTTCACAAAATGTCTGGACAGACCCCTGATTATAATAACGAAGAGATAAAACTTACTCTCTTCTCTCATTCTTGAATCCAGAAAGTTGAGTGCTTCATTAGCATCAGGACTGTTGGCCATAGTTAAGGCATAGGTTGAGATGGCAAGTTCATAAGGATCTGGTAAATCTCGTACTAGATGCAGAGCTCGCTCCAGATACTTTTGGGCTTGCCGTCTAGCAGTGGATATTCTGGACCCAACATCCTGTGACATGAAGCAGATTAATATGCTGAAGACATATATTTTACGTTCAATACAAATTCGATAACTAACATAACTGCATGCCTATCTGTCACAAGATGTTACCAAAAGAAGTAAATAAAGCATTCTTTGAAAGAATAATGTGTCACGTATTTAAACTAAGTTATGCAGTGAATGGTCATTTTAATATACAGAGTTTACTGTAGTTGCCCTTGATATATATTTTTAGAAAGAAAGATGAAATAAAAAAATCTATACATTAAGAGGCGAAAATTAGTATTTAAGGAAAAAATTCACCATCGAAATTTGCCAAATCACTAATGAAAGAAGCGGTAAAAGCATCTAAGCCAGTTTGATTGCCTGTAAAATCATAAGGGTGTTTTTAATAATTGACTTTCGACTGCTCTTTGCGTTTTTATAAAAAATCAAATAGTTTTTGATGTTTTTATTTCCAATTATTTAATACAATTTTTTCCCCAAGGATCTTAAAAATCTATGCGATCATAATACAATTCTTTGCGACCACATACAATTCTTTAAAATCATTTAAATTATCACATGTGTGATTCATCAATTTCTTTTAATAATTTTATTGTAATTACATGTATTTGTATTTCTCCTTATCATAAAAAATGTAAATTTTGGAAGAAAATAATAAAATTAATACATAAAAATTAAACAACAAAACTATGACTATATATTATTTAAAATACATCGTTTGTAATACTTATAAACTTTAAAGCATTTTTATTAAAAAAAATTATCGACTATAGTAATAAACTTTTGAATGATTTTAAGCTAAGTAAAGTTTATATATTAATTAAAAAATTTAAGTTATAATGATACTTACTAAAAGAATTCTCATTGATGGAATTGCAGAAAAAGAAATATTTTAAAGTCATTTTAAAAATATAGTTTTAATATTTTCTAGTGTTTTTGCACTTGCACGAATTCCTTGATGTATGTTTAAAAATAAAATCGAAAATATTGTTGACAAGAAGATTTGAAACTTACTCCTTGCAGATCTTTCAGTTCGGATAAAGTAATCAAAACGTGAGCAGTTAAAGAAATGTTTCTGTAACGCGGCCCACCATACGAAGAATCCAACTGTAATACAGAAGACAAATAAACGTATAATTAAAAACCAAATATTGATAGACATATAATAATAGGAAAAAATATATATATAGCATAATAATTATTATTTTTACAATAAACGTTATTGTTTGTGCTTCATAGTTTTCCTTGAATGAATTAACAGGGGGATACATTTAGAATGCAAATTCTAATTAAACAACTGAAGGGTGCCGTTTAATATTTTTATGAAGAAGTTCAAAAATAAAATAAAACAATTATTAAAATAATGACTAATTATCTAAAATATTTTAACCCAATATAGAGGAAGTAACACATTGAAAAAAATAGCTCAGTTTACTAATAATTTGTAATTGATTACATAAATTACATTGAAGAGGTATTAATTAAATCACACCAATTTTTCTTAATTAAAAATTATCATTTAAACAAAACTATACCTTAAAGTAACATAGTTAAATAAATGATATTCATTGAAAATTAATTAAAGGAAGTATTATAATTAAATATAGAAAAATATATTTATGTCATAAAACAAATACGTAGGGAACCGATTATCCGGAACGGTCGGGACCATCGCTATTCCGGATAACTGATTTTTCCGGTTTTCTGAATCGCTACAAAAAGCCGTTTTTTTTTTTTGTTAAACTCAACTAAAAAAAAAAATTGGAAATAATCTTAAAAATAAGAAAAAACGATGAAGTAATACACTAATGATTACTTCAAAAATGATGGTAAGGTAAACATCTTTAAAAAAAGAAAGAAAAATCGTAAAATCTTACGAGGAAAAAAACAATTTTTTTTAAAAATGGCGAGAAAATTTATCGAATTTTGTTCCGGTTCTTTGGTTTTCCGGTTTTCTGATTTCCGGATAACGGGTTCTGTACTGTATTTCTCAATACAAGGATATTTATGTCATAAAGCAAATATTGGGTATATAATATCAAAGATACTTACGTCTACTTCCTATAAAATCAGAAAGCATTAAAAAATTAGCATATAAGAATATTTTTTTAGAAAGAAATAAAGTTTAAATATTTGAATGAATTTTTTATTGAGTTAAATCCATTCGAAAGGAAAATAATGCTTACATTAAAAATAATGAAACTTACAACAGAATCCATTTTTCTATCAAAAAGTGTTGAGGCCGTTTCATAAAAAGCTCCCTCTGGTGTCTGATGATCTAACAACCAATTTACAGCTCTTGATATAACATCAGGATCTATGAATAGAAAATGTTCCCATTCCTGGAATGTTGCTTTATGAAAGATTCTAGCACAAAACGCTGTCAACCTATAAGGAACATACAATCCTAATTATATATATTCAGGGGTCTGTTTAGAGNGTTCCCATTCCTGGAATGTTGCTTTATGAAAGATTCTAGCACAAAACGCTGTCAACCTATAAGGAACATACAATCCTAATTATATATATTCTAATAATATATATATTATAATAATTATATATTTTTATTTTTTTTAAGTAAAATACAGTTCGTCAAATAATCGAATGCAATAAAATAAGATTTTTTAAAATTAAATGTTAGCTTCAATTTAAAATGAATAGTTTAATGCCAAACTAAAAAATTGAAATATTAATAATAAAGAATTTTTACTTTCATAATAGTAAAAATAAAACTAGAAATTGATATCTTAATAATAACATCATATTTAGAGTAGAACAAGAAATAATTAAAAAGAAGGAAGATAGCAAATTCAAAATTAAAAACTGGCCAAGTTGAAATTTGGGCCATAACTGTTTATGAACTTAACACAATTTTTTTTTTCTCCGAAATTCAAATTTGTCGAAAGTTATTACGATTTTGAGTGCTTTTTTAAAGAATATTTGCTCACTTTTTTCGCTTTAAGTTGCATTTTGTGAAAGTGTGCAAAAATTAACTTAAAAACTTGTAACGATGGGGTGTAGGAAAGTGTACAGATAGATCGTCGATAAAAAAATTAATATTTGATAAGTAGTGTGAGAATTATTAATTATTAAACTTGAAGAAAAATTTTATGAATAAAAAATATCATGTGAGCTGATCTGTTGCCTGCTGAAAAAAAAAGCCATTTTTACTGGTTAACACAAGTTTTTTTTTTTTTTTTTTTAANAATAATAATTCTTTTTTTTTTTAAATTGCAATTTGTTTAAATATTGACTTTCTTGTGAATTTTTCTCAGTTTTTCGTTTTAAATATTGACTAATTATCCATTGTTATAGAAACATTTATTTTTCTCTCTCGAGGTGCTGGCAATATGCTTGGTAGTTTTCTTTATTTTCAATCTAAAAGAATTAAGATGCCATTTCTTACAACTACAACTTAACTGAATAACGATAATAATAGAGAATATTATTGATAATAAATTCTTACCATACACTGGGTCTTGAGTTCCAACGGAAAGGAATAAAAGAACCATCACTCAATTGATAACTCAGTTGCCTTTGATAACCTTCAAAATGGAAAGAACGACATTTTACAAATGCTTTCAGTTTAAGTATTAAACATATTTATGGTAATAATCAAAAGGTTTGAGATTTGATTATTTTTGCTAATAAGTGATGAGAGTTTGAGCAATGTTTACGTAAACAATGTCAACAAAAGACACTAAAACCATTACTTATCAATTTTTTAAAAAGTTAAAATGATTAAAAAAAAGGGCCGGGATAGCCTGGTTGGTAGGGCACTGGACCATTGTCTAAGAGTTCGTGGGTACGATCCCCGCCGGCCGAAGACTCCCTGTGTAGTACATGGTGACTGATGCACGTTAAATCTGTCCAGTCACAAAGTTCTCCACGTTCCTATAACAAATCATACCTCTGTGGGTAATGATCCAAGAGTTACCTTGACTTCTGGATTGATTCAAAATTACACTGCTACGGAGTTGAACATTAATAATCGTAAATCCAAAATTGGGTTGGCTGTTCAACAACGTTGCAGAAGTCAAACATTTTGACAACAGAAGGAAGAATCTTAAAGAATGTTCTACTAAAAATTTTATGAAATGAATTAGTTTTTTTTTGCTTTTAATTTTTTACGCAAAGTTTGAATTTTATCCTTACATTTGCATTTTATCCAAAAATTAGATTGCTGAAATAGAAGTCAAGGGAAAAAAAGAAGGGACATTCTTGCTGACACTCCCTTACGTAAGTATGGAAGAAGACATTCTTGTTGAGAAGGTGGGGAAAGGTTAAAGGTCTCTAAAAAATATGATTGCGTTATATTTGAACGGTCCCTTAATAGGATCCTCATTTAAGTCAATGATGATCTACTAGAACAACAGTTTTCATTCAAAGCATGAAAAGTTAACATAAAAACAATTGTACAAAGTTTTAATCTGTTGTACAGTGCACAAAATAAAAAAACGGACTATCCTAAATAACTTTCGATCTAATGATCAGAGCATCGCGTTCTAGAACTCAATCTTAATGGTTCGAGGGGGTGACCTCAAATAGGATAATTGATTAGTGCAGACAATATTTTTAGTTACAAAATCAGACACAAAAACGCACTTTCTCCGAATAAACAACTTTTTTTCCTCGGATTTGGATTTTTAATTCCCAATATATAGGGGGTAGTTGCAATCTAGGAAATATGGTCAAAACAGTTTGGTCAGGAGAGCGTTCGAAAGTTTGGAACCCTTAACGTTAATTTTACTTTTTGTGTATTTCTACTTATCTCGAGAACTCTTTAAGCAAATTGAAATTTTTTTTTCTCAGAATTATAAAATTCGCTCATCCAAAGATGATTTCATGCAAAATATTATTTTAAGAAATATTAATTATTTTTTATTATTTTATTTAATAATAGTCGGAAAAACTTTGAATTGTAAGGTCTACAAATTCTTACATCATTTTGAAAAAGGCAATTTTAAATGGTGAAATACAAAGTTTCATTGAAAACGATCGAATATTTCCTGGGAAATCAAACTTCGAAAAAGTTGTAAGTTTAAAATTCGATTTCTCAAGAACTATTCGACCACTTTTGCTTAAGTTTTTTCCATTTAAAATTGCATTCTTTAAAATGATGTAAAAGTTTGAATACCCTACAATCCAAAAGTTTTTCGACTATTATTAAATAAAATAATCGAAAATAATAAATATTTACTAAAAGTTATATTTTTTTCATAAAATTATCTTTGGATAAAAACGAATTTTATAATTGTATGCAAAAGTTTTTTAATTAGCTCAAAGATTTCTCGAGATATGGTGAAATACGCAAAAAGTAAAATTAACATTAAGGGGTCTAAACTTTGGACCGCTCTCCAGATCAAACTACTGGGATCATACTTCAAAGATTGCGGCTACCCTATATATTTTGGGGGTCAGAACCCAGAATTAGAGAAAGTACTTTTTTGTGTTTGATTTCGTAACTTAAAATATCGTCTGCACTAGCTAATTAGCATATTTGAGGTCACCCCCCTCAAATCATTAAGTCTTAGAACAAGAAGATCAAATCATTAGATCAAAAGTTATTCAGGGTGGTCCGGTTTTTATTTTGTGTACTTTACAACTAATAATTTATAACAAATAAATGTTGTTGTTCTTTATTTAGATTGAAAAAAAAAACGCATTGAATAAATGTACATTGTTTTCAATTGACACAAAATTTGTAGCAGAGATTCAACGTTCCAGTTTATTTTGACAAATCGAAAATGAAACATCGTATATTTGTTCGTCATTACAAATCAGTGGATGGCAACTTTTGTGTGAAAGAAAAAAAGTCAATAATATACAGGGTGTCCCAAAACGATCACATTAACTCTGCATAGCCAGATTCCTCGTTTGGGAGTACATAAAAACTGCCTAAAGAAGCGTTCCTTGTACGATCCATAGTTTACGAGAAAAATACGAAAAACAAAGTATGACGTCACTGCCGGTGCAAGAAAAAACACATTATTGAACATATCAACAGCAGTATACTATGCACAATTTAAAGCAGATATAAGATTTTAACATTTTAAACATTATCGTCTGGAAAGATATGCAAATACCGTTGTTGATAAGTCCAATAAAGTGTTTTTTCCTTACACCGGCAGTGACGCCATACCTTATTTTTCGTATTTTTCTCGTAAACTATGGATCGTACAGGAACGCTTCTTTGGGCAGTTTTTATGTACTCCCAACGAGGAATCTAGCTGTGCAGAGTTTATGCAGTCGTTTTGGGACACCCTGTATAGAGACTTGTCCATTAAAACGTTTTTTAGAGCTTTGTTTCTTTACTAGCAATATATAAATATTTTTTTTTGTCTAATCCATGTCTTATATTTTTTGTGCAAATCACGTCTTATATTTTTCAGTCCATGTCTTATATTTTTTTTTGCATAGTCCATGTACTAAAAATGGAACAATATGGGAATTTTAAAAGATTGAGTAAATTTTATCCTGGGCAGCTTATAGCTAAATAATAACTATGTTATTAAGAAAATTGATTTTGCTTACCCATATTCAGATATTTGAAAGCTTGCTTTTCAATGTCAGGTTGCCGCTGACCGGTCAATCTAAGATATAGTAAATTATATAAATTCGCTGCGAAATTAAACATGGTTTGTTCACCGCACCAAAAGGGTTTGCGAAGCAATGTACTAGCGTTGACAGGCATTGTGGGAAAAGCTGGGCCAGTGACATCCCCTGAAAAAAAATACAAAAGTTAAGAAAAAAACTGCAACAATCTCTAATAATTAAAAAATGTAGAGTATTCTCCTAATAAAATCTGAGAAAATTGAAATTTGGAAATTTATTTATATTTATTGCAGAAGAACTTCACCTCCAGGCTAAGAACTATTTTGCCGTGCAATCGATAAAACAATGTAAGTGATTTACGATAAATTTCCTGAAAAGCGTTTCGTTAGCTGTTTTCCTTCCCTTGCTAATACTATCAACAATAAAACAAAATTTCAAAAAAGCTAATAAAAATTTATTTGTGGGAAATCTTTTTTTTCGGAATATCCCATACAAAAATCTAAACGTTATCCTTACGTTGATTTTTCGATTGCGCGGCAGAATAATAATGATAAAAATCCCCAAAATTCCATAATGTACCTGAAGCATTTCGCCCATCATCAGGTTTTTGAATATTTTAATCTATCCTTTTGCTCTGGTCTACATTAATAATAATTCTTTTGGTTTAAAATCAAAACTTTGTTATTTTTCTGTACTTTTCAATGCAAATTTTTACCCCTTCTAGTTTGATTTCATTTTTTATTAAGAATTTAAAAAAATATAAGTTACGTTTGAAGTAAACAATATGGTTATTGTTAATAATAACCGGTCAATATTAATAATAACTGCTTCTTTCGGTTAAAGTGAGAAATATCGATAATTATTCACTTTAACCGGTTATTATTAATGATAACCAATGAAATTTGGTCAATGTGAATACTAACTGGTCAAATCGATGATAATCGCCGAGTCTTTCTTTACCTTCTTTTGCCAAGTCTTGGTTACTTCCGGGCAGTGACTTGCGAAAAACTTTAAAAAAAAAAAATCTTAGAAAGTTAATAGCTCGAAGGGTTATCTCGTAGCCACCCCCAGGCAAATATCAAAATTTTTAAAAAAAATTTTCAGTTTAAAATAAATTTGGCGGCTTGGCGAGGCGATTGTAGTTGGCGTGATAGATCATGATATGGAAATATCCCCCATAAAAACACGAAAGAATGACATTGACCAAACTTTACTTCAACCGGCTTACTTGGTTAGTATTAATAATAACCGACTATTCCCACTTACCGTAACATATATACTGTGAGCGAACATGACGAATAACATTATTAATTACATTGCGAATTACATTGGAAGAGGCTTGGTGAAAAATAAAATAAAATTATTTAACACTTTAAGAAATGAAAGGATATCAGGAACAATTGATAGAGTATTGATAGAGTATTGACATAGACTAACCAACAACAGAAACTTCAGCCCTGTTGGATCCAAACATGTATAACCTTTCCTGCCTGTAGGGAACAATGGGCGTTTCTGTAATGTTCAGATCCAGATATTTAATTAGATAAGCTCCCTGACTCAAATCTAATTGGACAGTCGTGTGACGATACTGAGGTATACCATCAGCCTAATTAAAGAAATAATAATAATCAGAAATGTAATTTGAAATCGAAAAAAAAATCGCAGTTATTCATAGTAAATGAAGAACATAAAATATACAGAGATTTTAAGCATATAGTCCGAAGCTAAAAATTATTTTGCTCAGCAAAAGTTTTTATAATAGATTTGGAGTATTATAAATTGATGAATCGAACAAACCTCAACGTGTATGCGTCGTGTGATGATGTCTTTGGCAACTTGAGATTTTGTCATGATGGTCACATCAATGTCACCTAAACGGGTGGGTACGATTGGCATATATACTTCCACTGCTTTTCCGGGCTTGATCTGTTAAAAATAAGAATAATAAATTAATAAATAAAATCATGATTTTACTTTGACAAAATGCAGGAGGTGTTTTGAAATAGCTGTCTTTTATATTGAAAATAGTTAACGATAAACTAATATAATCACTGCCCATAGTTTTAAAAACCTTTCCAAAGAGGAAGTAAAAAAAAAACATGCTAACTTGTGGGCTCAATTAATATCTAAACGAGGAAAAATACACGATATGAAATTTTGACGTTTTGCAATTGATAAAGGGGAATTTAAAATCTTCAAAACTAATTTGATTGCTGAAAGAAACTTGGGGTGTTGCCAATTACGAGATATCTGCTAAATTTAGAAGTTTCAAATCCGTGACTTTCCATAATTTTCCATGACTTCCACCAGTAACTTCCCATGACTTGCACAAAATAATAAATTATTCAATTTAGTAAAAAAAAATTTCTCTGAACGAGTGTAATTTTTTCTTAAAAATAATATTATTTTATCTTTATCTATATTTCATAATGCCTTTATCTTATTTATATTTAATAATGCCTTTAAAGAACACTTACGATGCTAAGATCTTTTAATCCGGCAAACTCAAATATGCTATTTTCAAAAGGTCAATTCTAGGGAATCTTATGTTAATTTAATTTCAAAGAAGGAAAAGTTTCAGCATTATTCCATGTACTCTCTATCCAATAAGTTTAAGTATATATATAAAAAAAAATTAATTCCCTCTAACACTGATCACGATGCGTAATTTTTAAACAGCGCGAATACGGATCTCGATGAGTGCTTTCTAAATCCCGTGAATACAAACTGCAATGTGTGATTTTTTTAAATCGCACGAGTATGGATCACAATGTACGATTTTTTACAAGTTTTGATGATTTCAATCACGACTTCCTTGTCAATAATTTGCAAATCTTTGATAACGTCTTCTTTAATTTCCCTAGTTTTAATAATTTTGGAATCAGCAATGTATATATTTTTCCACTTTGATTTTGACAGGGATTTGAAAAAAATGTACTAAGAGGGTAATTGTAGTAAACCCTTTATATTACGCAGTTTTTGACAATATAAGTAATTTTTGTTTTACCAATTCTTCTAAGAAGAATAAAAATTTCTTAATTTAATTTAAAGAATGTATTTGTTCAATTTTTTCATAATTTAAGAAACATTTATTCTTTAATTGCTTTTTGCAACATTTCCTTATCTTACCAATAATGATTTGTGCATTGTCAATATTGTATAAAAAACACATAAAAATAAGAATGATATTATTAAAATAAAATAATGATATAAAAAATCCTTTTGTTGGTTTATTGCATTTCATGAACAACCTATCCACGTTAATAGATTTCTGTAAATCTGTTGAAATACATTTCATTATCCTTTTATTTGAACCGGGAGAGCCTGGTTGGTAGGGCGTTGGGTCCATGTCCAAAAGGTCATGAGTTTGATACCCACCGACTTATTAAGACTCCCCGTGTATTGAATGGCAACTGGTGAGCATTAAATCTGTTGAGTCACAAAGTCCTCCAAGTTCTCATAATGGATCAATACCTCTGAGGGAATTGGAGATTGATCGCTCTCTAGTTCAGGTCAAAATTACGATCTGTTAATGAATGAATGTGTCTGCCTTAAAAAGAGCTATGTTGTGTGTGTGGTAGAAGTCATATTCTTGGCTATAGATGGCACCATTGAAAAACAACAAACGCATCCTCTGCCTTAAATTCCCTTGGTTTCACTTACACCAAGCAGGCTTGCTGGTATTTGGCAAGTGCCATTAGAAACAACAACATCATATTTCTGGTTATAATCTTTCTTTTTGAACTATTGCAATTTTGAAGAGTTTTTTTCAAAAGTAAAGTATGTCTGGACACTTACGTTTTTAAGGAAGTCTATTTTTATGGTAAAATTATGACTATTTGCGTTGGATGGATAAGAAATCCACGAAGGTTTTACTTATAAGGTTATACTGACAGTCTCAAATATGTCTAGTTCAAGGAAATATATCATTATTGTGGAAGGGTTGAAAGCTGGAGTCGGCCATTCTTACTCTGGGTTGTTTGTATCAAAAGTAAGCCATTTGCTCTACCCCGCTTTTAGTCACCTCGCAAACAATTCTGTATGATCAAATCAAGAAAAGTTTTTTACTAAAATGAATAGAGAAAATTTTGAAAGAAGCTACAATTAATAGTAAAATATTGAATAAATGATAAGGCGCATAAATATAAGAGAGAAATTTTGTAATAAATTTTTCCAAAAAATACAATGTTTAAAATAAGGAAGATATAAAAAATCAAAACCAACCCAAACTAGATGCTGCTGTTCTCCAGAAGTTGTCCTTGGAGCATAAGAATCCACTCTTCCAAAAGATTCGACGTGAACAAATTTGTAATCAGGGGAGTTCGCGACCACTATTAAAGCCTAGAATTATAGAAAAATTAAAATCATAGTCAGAATTAGGTAATGATAGTATAATGTTTGAAATATCACGGAAATAATAGAACAAAAAAGTTGAAATTCGAAAATATTGTAGTAATAGGATAAAAACATATTAATTACCTCGATTTCATAAAGCATGTAGTTAAAGACGCTTATTCGTATGCCTATTTGTTCACCTTGCATACTCTTTGTAGGCATCTCAACATTCATGTAGAATGGTTTTACACTTGAAAACTGAGAAAGAAAAGACCCAAAAGCGTTAGCAAAAGTATAGATTGATCCGTAATCACCATCTTTATTATATATTTTTGAATCGTTTTCAAACATTATTTCAAATAAACTTTTATAATAGAGGCTGCAGATTAATAGCTGAGATATAAAAAAAGAAAACTATCTATGTAATATTAGAGCAAGGTGGAATTAAAAATGTTTATCTGCATCAGTGAAACTGAAAGGTATTACCCATTGGCAAAATGGGTGTTATTTTGGGTTTGATGGCGTGCGCATCTTATTTGGTCGTCATTGGACTTTTCAACTGTGTTCAAGAGTAATTAGTAAACAGTGCGCAAGCGTCGTGATTGCNAAAAAAAAAAAAAAAAAAAAAAAAAAAAAAAAAAAAAAAAAAAAAAAAAAAAAATCACAGTTATTCATAGTAAATGAAGAACATAAAATATACAGAGATTTTAAGCATACAGTCTGAAGATAAAAATTATTTTGTTTAGCAAAAGTTTTTATAATAGATTTGGAGTATTATAAATTAATAAATCGAAAGTCTCGTACAAACCTCAACGTGTATGCGTCGTGTGATGATGTCTTTGGCAACTTGAGATTTTGTCATGATGGTTACATCAATATCCCCTAAACGGGTGGGTACGATTGGCATATATACTTCCACTGCTTTTCCGGGCTTGATCTGTTAAAAAGAATAATAATAAATAAAATCAAAATTTTACTTTGCCAATATATAGGTGTTTTGTAATAAACGTCTTTTATATTGAAGATAGTAAACGATATATAAACATAATCATTGCATTTTGAAAACCTTGCCAAATATGGAGTAAATAAAAACATGATAACTTTAGGGTTCAATTAATATCCAAAATAGGAAAAAATAACAACAAAAAAAACGTTATGAAGTGCTGACGTTTTGGAATTGAGGAAGGAGAGATAAAAAAAACATCAAAATCAGTTTAATTGCTGAAAGAAATTGGGTGTGTGGGGGGGGGGGATGCTCATTGTAGGGTATCTGCTAAATCTAGAGCTTTTAAATCCACGACTTTCCATAATTTTTCATGAATTCTACCAATAACTATCCACAAATTACACAGGATAATACATTATTCTATCTAGTAAAAAAAATGTCCAAACGAGTGTGACTTTTTTTTAAAAAATAATATTTTTTTTATCTGAGCAATGCTTTGCCAATTTAAACAAAAGCAATGAAAAAGAACGGAATAATGAAATGCGCAGCAATTATTGGAATATAGATTTAAGAATATTTAATGATGCCTTTAAAGAACATTTGCGATGCTAAAATCTTTTAATCCGGCAAATTCAAATATGCTATATTCAAAAGGTCAATTTAATTTCAAAGAAACAAAAGTTTCAACATTATTACATGTATTATCAAATTACTTTAAATATATAAAAAAATGTTAATTCTCACAAACACTAATCACAATCTGTGCTTCTTAAATCCCGTGAATACAAACTGCAATGTGTGATTTTTTAAATCACACGAATATGGATCACAATGTGCGATTTTTTTAAATCACGCAAATGCGGATCGTGATGACTGCTTTTAAAACAGCATGAATATGTATCACGATGCATGATTTGTACTATATCATGTGATGACAAATCGCAATATGGGATTTTCTATTTGCGTGACAGGATAAAAGGCTTCAATACTAAAAATCCAACTGATGTTTCCATGATTTTTTTTAGCATTTATCACTGAAACTCATGATTTTTCATGAAACATTTCAATTAAGGTCGAAAACCATAACATTCAAGGAGCGCACATACCTTGCGATGATCTTCTTTAACATCTTTTTAATAGTCAACCGGCAATCAAACAAGTTTTGATGATTTCAATCGCGACTTCCTTGTCAATAATTTGCAAATCTTTGATAACGTTTTCTTTAATATCCACAGTTTTAATAATTTTGGAATCAGCAATGTATGTATTTTTCAGTCTAGATTTTGACAGGGATTTCAAAAAGATGTACTAAGAGGGGGATTGCAGTAAACCTTTTATATTAAGCAGTTTTTGTTAATATAGATAAAAGTCATTTTTGTTTTACCAATTACTCTAAGAAGAAGAAAAAATGTCTTAACATAATTCAAAGAATGCATTTGTTCAATTTTTTATATGCAGTTTTTATTCACATAATTTAAGAAACATTTGTTCTTCAATTGCTTATTGCAACATTTCCTTATCTTACCACTAATGATTCGTGCACTGTCAATATTGTACAAAAAACACATAAAAATAAGAATTATATTATTAAAATAAAATAATGATATCAAAAATCCTTCAGTTGGCTATTGTATTTCATGTAAAACCTATCTACATAAGTAGATTTCTGTAAGTCTGTTGAAATAGACTTCTTCATCCTTTTATTTAAATCGGGAGAGCTTGCTTGGTAGGGCGCTGGGCCCATGTCCAAGAGGTCATGAGTTCGATCCCCACCGTCCGAAGACTTCCAGTGTATTAAATGGAGACTGGCGCACGCTACATCTGACGGGTTCAAAATACATTCAAGTTTACATAATCAATATCTCTGGGGGTACTAAATTGGAGATTGATCGTTCTCTAGTCCAGGTCAAAATTACCATCTGCGTACGCCCTTTAAAACGGGCTGTAACGTGTGTGGCTGAAATCGTATTCTTGGTCATAGATGGCGCCACTGAAAAACAAGAATTGCCCTCTCTGCCTTAAATTAACTTGGTTTCACTAGGCAGGCTTGATGGTATTTGGCAAGTGGTATTCGAAACAACAAAAACAGATTTCTGGTTAGAATCTTCTTTATTGAACTCTTGCAATTTTGAAGAAGTTTCTTATAAGTTAAGAATACTTTTCGCGTTCGTTTTCAAGAAAGCCTAATATTTTTGAGGAAAAATTATGAGTGCTTCGGTTGACTAGATAGGGAAACCACGAAAAATTCCCATGAAGGTTAAACTGACGGTATTGTGTCTCAAATACGTATATCTAAAAAAATATGCTATTATTGTTTTTGGGAGCTCGAATGTATTTTACTCTGTGTCGTTTGTGTCAAAAATAAACATCCTGCTATTAGCTATATCCTGTTTTTAGTCACCTAGTAATGAAACAATTGTGTAAGATCAAATCAAAACTGAAAAGTTTCATACTAAAATGAATAAAGAAAATTTTTAAACATGCTGCAATTAATAGTAAAATATTAAATAAATGATAAGGTGCACAAATATAAGAGAGAAATTTTATAATAAATTGTTCTAAAAATATATAATGCACAAAAGAAAGAAAGAAAAACTCAAAACCAACCCAAACTAAATGCTGCTGTTCTCCAGAAGTTGTCCTTGGAGCATAAGAATCCACTCTTCCAAAAGATTCGACGTGAACAAATTTGTAATCAGGGGAGTTCGCGACCACGATTAAAGCCTGCAATTATAAGTCAGATTATTAATTAATTATGAATTAAAGTCAGAATCGGATAATGCGATGTTTGAAATATCATTGGAAATAATAGAACTAATAACAAAAAATTCGAAAATATTGTAGTAATAGAATAAAAACTTATTAATTACCTCGATTTCATAAAGCATGTAGTTGAAGACACTTATTCGAATGCCTATTTGTTCACCTTGCATACTCTTTGTAGGCATTTCAACATTCATATAGAATGGCTTTACACTTGAAAACTGAGAAAGAAAAGACCAAAAGCGTTAGCAAAAGCATAGGCTGATCCATAATCACCACCCTTATTATATATTTTTGAATCTTTTTCAAACATTATTTCAAATAAACTTTCATAATAGAGGCTGCAGATTAATAGCTGAGATATAAAAAAAGAAAACTATCTATGTAATATTAGAGCAAGGTGGAATTAAAAATATTTATCTGTATCAGTGAAATTGAAAGGTATTACCCATTGGCAAAATGGGTGTTGTTTTGGGTTCGATGACGTGCGTATCTTATTTGGTCGTCATTGGACTTTTCAACTGTGTTCAAGAGTAATTAGTAAACAGTGCGCAAGCGTCGTGATTGCATGCGTTGCTATGGCGACCGCTGTTGTTTGATAATTCTCTTTTATAATTCTTTTCCTCACTTTAAATTTTGTTATTCATTAAGTTGGTGAGTTTATTTTTGAGATATGGGACCAGAAAGATCCCGTAAATACTTCTTGAGTTGTGAATAAAATAAAAGAGAATTTCCTCATTTGAACAATATTTTTGTTTTTATAGCTTTAATTAGGAATCAGAAATTCTAACCTACAATTCAAACTGGATAGTTTGCAATACTAAATCAGGCGAAAATCATAAATAAAGAGGGTAAGAAAAAATTAGACAACAACCATTTTGCCCATGCGTAACCTGCAATCGCGTTTCGGGATCACAATTTTTTTTTAATTAAATTATTTTTTCATTATCTGTTAGTGAAAGTTTTTTTTCTGTTTCCTTTGATGACCAAATTCATTATTTTAGGACTTTTACTACTTCCTTTGTGCACATTGATCTCGATAATCATTTGTCAAATTACGATAAAGCTTTAATTTTCTATATTTTTCATTTAACTGATAATTTGTGACAAATAATACAAAGGTTTTAATTTTTGAAATGGATTCGAAAAATATTTATTAAGAACGGTGATTGCAGAACAGGGTATCTTATGCGAAAATGCAAACCTATTTTGAAAGAACATACTTCAATAGCTTTGTCTTGAATTCCGAAACCATCAACGTTATTCATGCCAAAGGCACTGACCATCCATCGTGTGGGAATCTCAGGAACAGGTACATTGAAAATGTAATATCCTAAAGGCCTGGAAAAAAATTCATTCAACTTCACATACTTTTCAATTAATACCATTCAAAATAATTACTCAGCCTATAATTAATATTAGTATTTAGCACTTTTTTGACATATTTTTCATTGAATGCTCAAATCCTTGTCATCATTTAACAATTTTTGAAAAGAATTAAAAAATGTTATCAGTAAAAAATGTATATGATATTAAATATGATATGATGTATATGATATAATGAAATGTTTATATGATATTAACTACCTAGAACTCACCTTTAAACATCAAATAATATCTTTTTAATAACAAAAAATAAAGGTGGTAAAATTTAAATTAAAAAAATATTTGTAAGGATCAAAATATAAGAGATAAGATACAATGTTTTATGAAACAATAACGTTCATAAATATGTTTATGTATTTTAAATGTGGCAACTTCTGCAACGTATACATCAGACTATTATGTATATCATGGGATATTTTCTATGGCGTTGAACTATAATATTGATAAAAGTTGCTACAAATTAAGACATTTTATTGTGTTATTTAATCCTTCTTAAACTTGAATTTATAATAATACAGAAATGTAGCAATTTTACGTAACATTCTGAATGTTGTATGCAAGCTTTGTATTTTATTTTATTTTGTAACCATCGTCGAACAGCAGACTAAATTTTGGGTTTACGACCACTAATGTTCAATTCCATGGCCTTGTAATTTTGAACCCAATCCAGAGGATAAGGGAGCTCCTTGATCAAATATTGGAAGAAATTTTGCCTTCGCGGAAGACTTTTTGATGGAACTAACCCGCATTTGCGTGATATAGAGAGGTAAGCCACGAAAACATCCCACGGTTAGCTTGACGGCAAGGGAATCTAACCAATGATCCGTCTACGTCAGCAATGTGATCGGTGCGAGCCGGGTGCAGGATTCGTATCAACCAACCTTCGCTGGGATTTGAACTCCATTCACTTTATAGGAAGACAAAAGCTCTATCCCCTGAGCCATCATGGCTCGCAAGCTTCGTATTCACAGAGATTGTTCTGTTGCAACTTCGTTGTGCAGAACATACGTAAAAATGCGTAGAGCTACCTGAAAGTGTTAAGTGTGTGGAGCTATCGGAAAGCGTTAAATGTGTGGAGCAATCTGAAAGCGTTAAAACCAACAATTCAACTCGAAAGAAAATACAGTTCATTTAAATACCTTGTAGCTTACAGTAAATTTACACGGTATTACGGTTTACGATACTAAAATTATAGTTAAATCTTAAACTGGTTTTTTCGGCAGTTTATTTTTTTTTGACATTTCTTGAATACACTCGATAAATATTGAATGACACGGTAAAAAGTCTTTTTGTATGTTTAACAACATCTCGGATTGCGTACATAACACCTCACTAATATATTTCTAATTAATGAAGAATAAAATGCAAAAAAAAAAAACATAATTTATTGAGGACAACTAATCTCATATAGTACCAAAAATCAAAATATTTATAAATCAAAATATTTTCATGTAGTACCAGAAATCAAAATATTTATGAATCATTATATTCTTATATTGTAGCAGAAATCAAAATATTTAGAAATCACAATATTCTCATATAGTACTGAAAATCAAAATATTCTCATATACCACCAGAAGTAAGGAAAGGATAAAATACATTCACTGCCTCAAAAACGTACAATAAAAAAAGTTAATCGATTAAAAAGAAAATTGCATTTACCCAATGTTGAAATCATGCCACAACCAAGCATTGTCGTACAGCCTTTGTATGCGATTGATTCTATTCATTTTAAAGTCCTTAAGTCTCAACTCATCTTTTTCTGGACCTGAGATTAACAATTAACTATTAGAGAATGAATGAAATACATCTCACAAGTTGCAATATAGTAACGTTAACATTAAACTTACATCCGCTCTCATCTGTGTTGTCAGGACAATCTTTGAATCCATCACAATTTTTATCATACCTGTAGCACGAACCATCCAGGCACGTTAGATAGCCAAGAGATTCGTTACAATAATCTAAACAATTAGGACAAATTGAATTAAATGTTTAAATGCGAGTTTTCAATAATAAGAATACAGATTATAGTAAAAAAATTAAAAATTACCATATCTTCTGGTAACATTTGCATCGGTAAAAACAACAAGACCAGCATACTGTAAAAAAAGAATGATAATTAATTTATAAGCAATAAGACGCTATTATTTAAAAACATGAACTGATTTTTTTTTGTTACACGTTTACAATCAACGTTAAAAGACCAGTATCAAAATATTTGATGGAATTTTAACTAAAATTACTATCTGTTATTTTTAAAAAACAAATCAGATTTCTTTCACAATTTTTATTATTCTTTTACCACCAAAATTTTCATAATTGATTTACAGTATTTGTATGAGCAGTAGCATTTTAGAGCGTTCAGAAAACAAAGATTATACTAAAGCTACCAGGAAAAAATTTGTTTTTGTTAAAGTATGCAATAAACCTATGTAATAAAATGAAACAAATTTTGAACGATTGGACCCACATTGCAAGAAGAAGAAGAAAACGGAACCCTCTACCGTAATCTGCAAGCAAGAGGATTGAATCTGGCAACCTCTTACCCTAATTATTTTTCTTCCAATCAAATTTCATAGTATTGAACATTTTGAACATGCTCACAAGGCTAGGTATTTTCTGAGCCAATTCCAAATCAAATCATGAAGAATTTTTCGGATGAAATGAACTTTCTTTTTATCTTAATGCTGCCGTCGAACAGCTAACAAATATCGGGTTTGCAGCTATTATTGTTCTATTATGTATTCTCTTAGCTTTCAACCCTACCCAGAAGACAAGGTAGCTTAAATAAACTAACGGTAACTCGCCTTCGGGAGGTCTTTTTGAGGAAATTAATCCTCATCCACGTCACAAGGAGAGGGAAACTATTTAAAAACTTTTATCAATTTGCAAGCTTCCACCGTGTGGGAATCTCAGGAACAGNACCTGTATATATTTCCAAGTCTTCTTCTTTTATTTCTAATTGTCACATATCTGAAAAATACTGATAATCCTTCGACAAATCGACCCTTCCGCTTTGGATCGACCCCCTGGCTCAGATCGACCCCCGCTAATTTAAAATAGACCCCTGGGGGTCTATATAGACCACTTTGGCGACCTCTGGACTAGACTATCCACCACGGAGCTTCAAACTTTGATCACCCACCAATGAACCGACTAAGGTAACCCTTTTATATTGGGGATATTTAAAATTTTTTTTGCACTCCTTTTTTTTTTTTTATTTATCCAGTCGTTAAACTAGATCAACACTGTTCTCAAACTTTTATGTTAAAACTTATTTAAAGGCAAGATTATATTGGGAGACAGAATAAGTTTCAAATCTCAGTTGTGTTTTTTACAATTCTCAACACAACAATTTTTAATATTAGTTGATCGTTAAAGATGGCTTCCTGTCAAGACCATACCAGCTCTCATTGACCAATTTAAAATTGGTAAAAGCCGCATGAAAGTTGGTGCTTTAGTTTCGAAAGAAGTACATTGAGAACATGTTGAAATCAAGCGCCTCGTATAAAAATACGTTTTAAAAATTATAAATATTTGCTCGGTTGATTGAAAAGTGACTTCGAAGTTTTTCTACAGCTCGTACTTGAGTTTGATGAAATTTTTTTTCTTCCTCTTTCAGATTTTTTGTCTAAATAATCTAAAAAAAATATTTTGAAAGGTTTTTAGTTGTTGTTGTTAAAAATACAAGTTACGAAAGTGAAAGTTAAATAAGAAGAGTTTTAGTCAATAAATACGATATTAAGCAGTCATTTAGGTTTTACCTACACTTTATTTATTTGAGACCGATGAAATTATTTCAATTGTAATGTTTTGGCTTCTTCCTGAATAAAATTTGCATTTGGTACAGTTTAAATCAAATCAGATATCTTTTTCGAGATAGCGATCTGCTCTCTAACATTTTAAGATATGTAACTTACACCTTGTGTTGCATTTATTAGCATACTTTTAAGCGAAATTGGACTTCATACTCGATATTCAGCATTACAAAATAAAATTTAAGAAAATATATTGAAAATTGAATTACCTGTAGAGTTGAATATGCGTCTATCCCATAGGAAGAGGCTGGGTAATGAACAACGCTATCCAAATTTCCCTCTTTAGATAACCATACATGTGTAAGGGTACTATTAAACCCTTCGTCAAAAAGACTCATTTTCCTTAGAACCTTTAAATAGAATACAAGTTATCGGTTAAATTACTTTACATTTCCATTATTTAAAAAATCAAATAATTATCAGTAAATATCAGTACAGAATTCAGTACTTAATGAAAGGAAGTTTCAGTACTAAATAAAAGGAAGAAGTGGGGGAAAATTCTAAATATGGTCTCAATCCTTTTTATTTAATTTTAAAAAATAAACTGATGACAAACATTTATTCCATTTGGCAGTATCTTTCGATACATGTCGAATACAAGGCCACCATCCAATCACAATTTCAGATAAAAAGCGTGTGGTACTTTAGATTTTCGATTTATTTTTCTGGTAAAATTGTGCCAATGTATTTGATAGGCAGTTGAACAGTTGCCTGTTTTTAGATTTTTGATAAGTATCTTTGTTTTTTATTCAATTAAAAATTTTTTTAGTGTCATCCAAATCGGTTTTCATCAATTTAAACTGTAATAAGATCAGATTCTAAAAAAAAAATCTAAAAACTGAGAAACGTGTAGTTTTAAATGACTTACTCAAACCCACAAATCGAATTACTTTATTGTTTTAAAGTTTTGAGGAAAAATTCATAGAAGATCTAAAATTTATCAAGATTTATTTATTCTAATTTAATGAAGTGATCCCTTTATTTCCTGGCCTTTTTTGAAAGTTATCGTCGCTTTAATAATACTATATCATCTTTACCCAATCATGACCAAGTACTTGTTGTTGTCGTGGGCCATTTAAGGCAATGGGTGCGATTGTTCTTATTTTCCAGTGGCGCCATCTATGGTCAAGAATTTGACTTCTGCCACACCCATGCGTCACACCAACTTATAGGGTGGACCCATTCATACATCCATTGCGATATGCAATTTTTATAACTGCTGTGAGTTTGTAACTGTTGCTCATGACTGCTTGGTCAAGCTTAGCCTATCTAAAGCCACAGCTGCCAACGCGTATTTTGAAAATGGCGCAAAACTTCAATATGGAGAAAAGCAACAGCTTTGTGAAAATGAAAAGCATTTGTGGTCTAATTTTTTTAACATTTAAAAACTTACTCCAGTGCAGCATTATTTGGGTCATAAAAATTTGCAAAAACTGAGAATTAGGCAGTGATTTTGATAATTTTCATCTAGTTAGAAAAACGTCTCCAAATTGGCAATTTGTTTTTTAAAAAAATAATAATGACTTTTAAAATACTTAAGTTATTTGTCTGTTCTAAATCCCAGATAATTATTCACGGCAAGATTACATATATAGTTTAGAGTCATCGCATTGCTTCAAGTGTAAGGCGCTTAAACTTCGGCTTTTTTTCATTTTCCTTGGCGACAGAGCTTCGAAAAACAGCGTTAACTGACAGCGCCACCAAAGCGCTTAATACTGTATTATTTAAAGTTTAAATACTGAAAAATATATTTATAAAAAAATACCAATTAAAAACTTAAACCTAAAATTCAAGATGACGAGGGTAGAGGCCTCTTAAGTTCAATAATGAGATAGAAATATGCGTTGTGAAATTCACGTCTTACCTCAACATGGCTGAATTCGTTTCCTCCTTTCATATCATAAAGAGCTTTGTCGATTGCAGCCAGACCAACGTAGGACGAAGGTCTACCAAACACAACCACTTCTACGGTATCCAAAGACTTATCTTTTAGATTATTCAGTGTCACAGTAAACTGAAAAAAATAAAAAATGATAAGATAATTGTGTAAAATCTGTATAATATTAATTGTATATGTTACTGAGAATGACCGAAATTGATGGTTGCTGACTTCTACCGGTGGATGTTGACAATCATATAGTCTCTTTGGTAAATGTCCGAAATATATACTAGGTCTAGTTAAGTCAGGGGTCTGTCCAGACATTTTGTGAAAGGTTTTTTGTAAAATTGTGAAAAAATGACTCGCAATTTGTGAATATAAAATAAACGTTAAGTCACATTCTTTCAACCAGGGTCCGCTTTTGTGAATTTGTGTAAATAGGGTCCGTTATTGCAAAAAAACTTTCTCAAGGAGTTTTTAAATTGTAAAGACATACAAGATTATGCTCAACACTGTACGAGTAAAATTATAATTAAGAAAATTTAATTTTAGAAAATAAACAGCAGTTGCAGCTACTAAATTAGCGATGCAACATATAAATATTTGGTATGAACCCTATACTGCAGAACGAAGAATATTAATTTCCGACGAATAAAGGAAGAAGCGTCTGCCGAGGGTTTATTCGATTAACAAAACAATAATGAAGATAAACAAATTTGTGAAGGGTCCGATTAAAATATAAATTATTTCGAGAAGGGTCCGTCATTAAGTTAAAATATTTCGTGAAGGGTCCGTTTTTATGAAAAGATATTTTGTGAAAGGTCCGTTAACGGACCCAAATTTCTTCCCAACAGACCCCTGTAAGTATAATGCGGCTTTGAGGAGAACTCCTCCAGACTAAAAGTCTGGGGCTGTCTGCCGCTATGGTGACAAGCGAGAGCACATTTCTAATGGGGGTGAAATGTAGGAAAGTAGGTGTCGATTGGTTTACTCACCACGACCTACCCTAATATTAAGACAAAACTATTCACCTCACACCCCTATTCGAAGTGACCTTTCCTCGTTGCCATAGTACCCGCCACGACGCGAGACGGGCGTCTGGAGGAGTTCTCCTGAAAGCCGCACTATATCACAGCCCGGTATGCCCTACATCAATGTCATTTTAAGGTCAAGTGCCACTGTCCAGTATGCATTTAACCGGTGCTCTGGCCACTGATGTTTCTCCTAATCTATTCTCAGCGTATATTAAAATATCGAATAAGTATGATAATATCAATTTGGATATAGCGAATATTTCAGACATTCACCAAAGCGACTATATGATTGTTGACATTCACCAGTGAAAGTCGACATTCTCTTGATTTCGGTCATTCACGGCAACATTATAAATCAATTTTATTAATTATTCAAAAACTAAAAAAAGTATTCAAGAACGAAAGCTGCATTAAAACGATATTTACATTATTTCTTTTTATTCCGTCAACAGGGAATGTGAGACTGTCTAGAATAACTTCCCCTTCTCTGGCGACACTGTAAATGACGACAGTCGACGTGGGTGCCATCTGAGGAGAGAGAGAAATGGCGAATGTTTTTATGCTCGATGTCATCGTTTCTTGGCCAGCTGAAAGAATGATTCCCTTCGATACAACCTAGATGAAAATTATACAAATGTTTTTTTTTAAATAAATTATTTTCATGTACATCAATTCATAAAAAACAATTATATGTTATTGTTGTTGTACATACCATCATTAGAAGGGTGTTATCATTCGTTAATAAATATCGTTTAATAATATGAAATAATTTTTGTGGAAAAAGCCTTATAATTAAGAGCTTTCTTTTAAAAAGTAAGAAAACTACTTATAAAATTGCTCAAAACATTTTAAATTTCTGACACATTCAAATCCAACTTTGTTAATTAGCTGCCAAATACGATTCCCTGCAAAATTAAGAAAAAAAGCTCTTACATTTTTTCCCGCTCATACGCAGTATAAAGACTACGTTAACTACTCATATCATGCGTAGTTTTCAACGAATTTTTCTCAAATTTCAAAGCAATAATTTTGAGATCAATTTTAAATTGTTCCAAAATTTTTATTTAATATTTTCAAAGTTATAGCAAAATAACGTAAGACAAGGAAATTCATTTTTTTTTATAAAAATGTCCATATCTCTGTAAATATTTAAGCTAAGTTTACGAAATTTTGTGCAATTATTGCATATAATTATCAAAATACTAGTAATAAATTAAAACTTTATTGCTACATTTTTTAGCATAGAGTGTTCAAATTTTTTTTCCGTTTGTAATTTATTGACGGCCCCTCAAACCTCAAAATTCTTTAAGCTTCATTGATATGTATGAAAAATCACACGATTTTAAACACTTCCAAATTAATAAACTGATTTTCCAAGTATATTTTGTCTATACCCTTAATTACAAACAACATTAAATTTCAAAAAAAGTTATTCCAAACAATATAAATGTTTAAAATATTACAATAGAATCTTATAAATTAAAAAGTATTGACTCTAATACTTACAACATAAGAAAAGGATTCAACGAAATAATTTGCACGAACGTGAAAAATGATGTATTCTCCCACCTAAAAGAAAAAAAAAGTTAAAAATTCATGAGATACATGGCATTAAAAAAACATAATCTGATAAAATCTTTAAAACTGGTTACCTTTGGTTGACGAGTACTTGTGGATATGCGAAGATGTCTATTACTAACAGAATACGATGCATACACTTTCAAATGAGCTTTTGCTTGCTCTCCCGTAAGATCATCGAAGAAATATCCCTATAAAAAATTATTTCCGCAATTAATTTAATATTAACAAATGCCTATCATTTCAAACACAACAAAACTATCTATTCCAAAGGTGTCTATTCTTGAGCTATCTATTCTAAAGTTATCTGTTCTAAAGCTATCAATTCTAAAGTTACCTACTTTAAAGATATCGTTCAAACAAAATACAAGCAAATAATTTCGAAGAATGTTGTGTAATTTCAGAAATAATAATAATCGATTACTTATCGCCTTATTAAAACGAATACGTCGAACTCGAATTTTCTCTTAAGACGTGAGACGTCTTTTACATTAACTCGAATTTTCACTTATCTTTATAAAAAATTGTTTCTGCAATTAATTTAACATTGACAAATCCTTATCATTTCAAACACAACAAAACTATCTATTGCAAATGTGTCTATTCTAAAGCTATCTATTCTAAAGATATCGTTCGAACAAAATATAAGCAAATAATTTTGGAGAATGTTGTGTATTTTATAGAAATAATAATAATCTATTACTTATCGCCTTATTAAAACGAATACGCTTAACACGAATTTTCACACGAATTTCAAGACGAAAAAAAACACAGTTTTCCTATCACGTTACATCGGAAAACGATTATAACTCCATGCTGTATATTTTGCAAATGTATTTATATTACTGTCAATTCTGTTAATCTAAATTAAATATAAGTTGTTCCAATATCCCTGCTGTATATATTTTTTGAATACTTATTAAATAACTAATGTTTATATAAATCCAATTTCGAAAAAGAAAGTTAAATGTTAATGATCTATAAAAGTGAATAATATATTATTTTTAAGTTAATATAACATAAATAAGACGTTAATCTTTTAAAACAAAGAAAATAGAGCAAAATTTGCCCTTGCGATTGACCATATGTTTATAAAAGATGCTTAAAATTCCATAACATCCAAGTAATTTCCAAGACCTGACTATCTTTTCTTTTGACTGTCAGTTAAGCATGTAATGTTGCTTTAGTCCCGCACTCCTTAATAGTGATTCTCTAGACTTCTTTATCCAAATACAAAAGGGGTATCCATGAATTTTGCGTCACATTGTAGTAAGGGGAAATCTTATCTTGAAAATACGAATACTAATGTGACTCATGAAATGGTATGAGTAATTTAAAAAAAAAATTAATTTAGCTTTTTATGATCATTTCTGCAAAGTCATTTTGAAACATTTTTTTAAAAAATTTTTAGCGCATAAAAAAATCTTCTTTAAAAAATAGAGAAAACTCTTTTAGAGCTATATATTTTTCTACATTAATATACAATAATTAGATATGCATAATTCAGGGGAAAAAAGCAGAAAATGAGAAAGGTATAAGTGAGAAAGGAATCGAGAAAACTTTTTTAGAACTATGTATTTTCCTACATTAATATACAATAATCTGATATGCATAATTTGGGGGGGGGAAAGCATAAATTGAGAAAGATATAAGTAAGAAAGCAATAGAGAAAACTTTTTTAGAAATATATATTTTCCGACATTAACATACAATAATTTGATATGCATAATTTAGGGGGAGGGAAGCAGAAAATGAGAAAGGTATATAATGAAATAAATGCTATGATAAACAAATAAATACCTCTAAAACCATCAACTTTATATTTTTCATATCTTCTTTGGAAATAAATTCATTTTCTAAATCAATTCCAACTTCCCAAACTCCCGGATGAAGAGTGGACATTTTTTCAAATCGGGTACTCAGACGACGAGATCCTCCATTATAGAATTCGATGATAGGAGTTATTTGCATTCGTTGTTTCATGAGGCGTTCAGGGGGAATACCTGAACCATCTTGATAATAGGCGGCGACCTTTGAAACAAAACGAACGAAAAACGTAAGTTGTAATTAAANTCCCTTGTTTTAAGCTGTAGAGAACTCCTGAAGAGGATTGAGTGAAGTGTTGCATTTCAATGGGTCCCATCCCATTGTGGTCTTCGAGGAAACGAAATGGCTGACTTTTTGGCCAAAAAAGGAACTTACATTCTTCAGAGATCGTGTAGAGATCTGTCCTTCCATTCCGCTAAACTTGAAATAAAAAGAATCTTCAAACAATCATTCCATTGTTTGGCCTCTCACGCTGCTACAGATAAGTCCTGGAAGGTGCTCTGCGGAACTCGCAGTGTTCCGGATTCACCCCGTGCTTCTGCGGTAGACATGTTTATACTTTTAACCGGACATGATTGTCTACGTTCTCATTTATTTCGCCTCTAACTGATTACTTCATCAGATTGTCTTTTACGTAACTCCGGACAAGTCATGACTGCTGCGCATTTGGACACGTGCTCTGCCCTAAAAGACTTTGACTGTATTATTAAGAAGTACTGGAGAGCTAGAAACCTAATGACCTAATAGGCAATGGCTAGCATTTGTTCAATAATAATAAATTGTTTCAATTGGATATCTACAAGTGGCGTCAGCATAGGCATATCTTGGCATTTGTCGGTTTAGAAGCAAATCAGGTTCTACACACATGCGTAACGTCGCTTACAGGTATCCAATTAAATCGGATTTAAATCCAAGATTACATATAATCACTTCAATTTTTCTCAAGTTGCAACAACCCCCAATTGGTTAATTTGAGAAACAAAAACAAATTGTTTCACTAATTATCAGTAAGTTGTTATTTTCAGCCGCGATTCCTCGAGTAACTGCTTATTTGTAAGAAAGTAATGTTTGCCAAGTTATATATTCGGAACATAAAAGAGCATCATTTCATTTTATAACACTAAAATTTCAATATAAAAAATGTTTTATCAAACTTAACTTTTTATTTATTTGCTTGGCGGGAACATTAAATGTACAGTGCAAATTTTATCTCAAATAAATTCGGAATTAGAATAATAAATTCTGATTTTATTGTTCTTTAAAGCAGAAGTAATAAAAATTAGCTATTTTTATAAGCCAATACGGTTAAATCATATTATGAACGCAAAATTATAAAAGTGTTACGTGAAAAATTTACTATACATTTCGTACTAATAAGGAAAAAAATAGTTTCTACTTTCATAAAAATGCCGGTTGAGATATTTCAATCCAGTAAAGCCTCGTTAAAACGTATACGCTTAACACGAATTCTCACTTAAGACGAAGGAAAACAGTTTTCCTATCACTTTATCTTGGAAAACAATTAACAAACGATTAAGACGAACATAAAAATTCCCCTTTTAAGAAGAAGTAAATTGTTTTTTTTCTGTATGGGAATGAGAAGAAAGACTGCTACATATCATAATAGATTCAAAATCTTGAATCTATTCTAAAGTTATCGTTCAAACAAATACAAGCAAATGAAAACAGTTTTCCTATCACGCTATGTCGGAAAATAATTAAAACTCCATCATTAAGAGCAAACATAAAAATACCCCGTTTTAGACGAAGTAAATAATATTTTTCTGAAAGGGAATAAGGAGCAGGATTGTAATATTATATCATAATGGAATCAGAAACTTAAATCCATTCTAAAGTCATCGTTAAAGAAATTAATTTTAAAGAATGTTGTATATTTTTAGAGCATAATAGTAATCGATTACTTACAAAGACTTTGTAAGGCATTCCAGGTTTAAAGATCTGCGGATCATCACCCAGGAAGTCAATTTTGATCCGAGAGCTGAAAACGATGGCTTCTGCAAAACCTTTTTCAATCAGATCCAAGTACCTCTCTCCAACGTGGGCGGTGACGACGATCTTCGATTTATCCAGTTGTGGTTCAAGCTCAGAAAATTCTCTCATGTCAAACTTGAAATCTGTTTTACCTTCGAACTAATAAAAAAATATATAAATAAAAATTTTTTTTATGAATAAATATAGAGATAAAATTATTTTTATGAAAAATACCGTTATATAAGGGTTTTATAAGAATTGTTTTATAAGAATTATAAAAAATACATCTCATTTTGCTGTAATTACTGAATTATTATGTTAGTGTAAAAGTTTTTTTCAGTATTCTCTGTGATAATTTTGCATGAATGCGATACATTTCGATCAAACATTTTGGTGATGATACTTACACGTCTCCAATACTGTTGAATTGAAGCAACTCTCTTACTGGTGGATTTTAGGGATTCAATCGAAGCGACTAATGTCAAATTTCCAATAACAGGAACACCACTTGTATAACTATCAAATAAAAAGAGACGTTACAGAACTTGATTATATAAAAGTTTAAATATATTCTAGAAATTCAGATACGTTATTTTATATAAAGTTCTACAAAATGTGATTATATAAAAGTTGAAATCTCTTATGCTACAGGTGAGAGTGAGGTGAGACCGGGTACCTCAATTGTGTCGAAATAAATTCTGGGTTTTAGGTTTTTCTAGTTTTTAGGTCGAAATAAATTCTGGTTTTCATATAAAAGTTAAAATCTCTTATGCTAAAGGTGAGAGTGGGGTGTGACCGGGTACCTCAATTGTGTCGAAATAAATTCTGGCTTATAGCTTTTTCTAGTTTTTAGGTCGAAATAAATTCTGGTTTTCATATAAAAGTTAAAATCTCTTACGATAAAGGTGAGAGTGGGGTGTGACCGGGTACCTCAATTGTGTCGGAATAAATTCTGGTTTTTAGGTTTTTCTAGTTTTTAGCTCGAAATAAATTCTGGTTTTCATATAAAAGTTGAAATCTCTTATGCTGAAGGTGAGAGTGGGGTGTGACCGGGTACCTCAATTGTGTCGGAATAAATTCTGGTTTTTAGCGGACAAACTCTAGAATACGGTTTACTAGTCAAAAAGGACACACAACAGTGACGTGCTGTTATTGATTAATTTACGGTGTCTGCGGGGATCAGTTTAATTTACTATATCAATTCTTTAATGTTCTTTTGTTTTTAAACTAGCCTTAGATATTGGTCATTACAGTAACGAATATTCATTTTAGACCAGCGTAATACAAGTTTCTTAGAGATTCATACCTTAACAAACAATAAGGATTTAGTTCAATAGTTCTGTTAAGTTTCAATAACCTCTGCTTTTGGGGTAAAACGGGTACTACATGGTTTTGCCTCACCTTTTCTGATGTGAGTCTCAGTCTATGCCTGGCCCACGAAAGCTACAGTGCAAGGGAAGAAGATGGTGTAAGGCTAAAAAAAGGTTTCATGGACTCCAGGACAAAAAATATTGCAGCTTCTTCCACAAAGTACAAAAAGCCTTATTTTATATTTCGTAGAATTTTTTATGACACTTTAAACAAAATTGTAGTTTTTCTATAGATATAGCGAAATTCTCAGCAATTTTCTTTAAAAAGAAGCTGATTATAAGAACTATATTTTTGTAAGAAATTCTTGCCTCTCCCCAGCAGTTCTGGGTCCCTGGATAATTCCCCCCCCCATTGAGTACGGCTAAGACAACGTAAAAAGCATGAATAATTTTTCAAAAAATTATCATGTAGAATAGAAATATCGGCTACTTTTTCACGAAAATTCCAGTGTTTCTAAATTTCCGATAGAGTTAGCATGAGTACTTGGTCTTATTCCACTAGTGGGGCTTGAAGGTGATTTGAGTATTTTGAATAAAAAAAATTATTTACAAAAAGAAGTATATCAATGACTTTTCAGGATTGATACATTATACACAACTAAACAATTAATTATTTGATTAAATATCTTGATTAAAGAAATGGCGAGACAATTAGACAGTTTAACTTCAAACACTTTAGCTTTAACAAGCTTTTGAATCTTAGCTACCCTGTCTTACCCCACTTTCCCCTATATAGTCCGAACATTTAGTCGGCTGTTCAACCAGGGCTCGAAAAAACTCAGAAATTTTACCCGTCCCCGAGGTCGGCTTGTCCAATAATGCACCCGTCCTCCGTTCAAACTAACCCGTCGCTTTTAAATAAATAAAAATATAATTTTCTCCTATTTATTACAAACATTTATATAAATTGCACAATGAATTAGTCGTTACTAGGATTACATTATACAGTAATAAAAGAAATACTAGGTTACTAATAGTAACCTAGTATTTCTTTTATGAAATAATTTAAATGACAAGGGTCAAGTTATCTGGAATGTCAAGTTATCCGAGGGTACTGCGTTTTTTAAATGAATCAAATATGACGTTTGCCAGTTCCACAATCAAGCCAATGATTTACAGAGGTTTCTGAACAGAAATCTGAAAGGGGTTTTCCATTTAGGTAGATGTTCATAATTGCTTTTAAAGCTTCTTGTTTAAGACCAGTACGTATTGTGTTTTTTTGTAAGTTTATTGCTGCAAAGCCCCTTTCAACCGCTGCAGTACTCCCAGACAGAGAAAACATCAATATATGCGCAGTATGTTGCTGTATTGTGGGTCATTTTGCTGCCTTGTAACTTACAAGACTCTTGTAAGATAACAAAAATTGAAAATGTATCACGAACATTAACGGGAAAATGGCCGCTAGCGCGGACGTCGGATTCGAGAAATTCGTTGTCCGCGGAGAATTTTTGACCGTCGAGGACGGGCGGAGGGGCTGTTTTTCGAGCCCTGTGTTCAACGACAATTATAAATAAATAGTCTGAATGAGCCGTCATGGCTCAGGGGATACAGCAATCACCTTGTTCGAATCCCAGCAATGGCCGATCGATAGCCTGGTCGGTAGGGCTCTGGGCCCATATCCAAAAGGTCGTGGGTTCAATCCTCGCCGGCCGAAGACTCCCCGTGTAGTAAATGGTGACTGATGCACGTTAAATCTGTCGAGTCTCAAAGTCCTCCATGTTCCCACAACAAATCAATACCTCTGGGGGTACTGCTCCAGGAGTTTCCTTGTCTTCTGGATTGGTTCAAAATTACAAGGCTGCGGAGTTCAACGTAAGTAGTCGTAAACCCATGAAATTGGTTTGGCTGTTCAACGACGGTTATAAAATAAAATAAAATGGCCGATCGATATGAATTAAGCATCCGGGTTGTACCGACCACAGTGCTGATGTAAAATAGCCTCAGTGGAAAAACGGATACCGGGTGAGAGTCCTCTTGTCGCCAGGCTAACCGTGGGAGGTTTTCGTGATTTCCCCCTCCATGTAACGTAAATGCGGGTTAGTTTCTTCCAAGAGTCCTCCACGATAGCAAATTTCTCCCAATACTTGATCCAGGAGATCCTCTGTCTTCTGGATTGGGTTCAAAATTACAAGATTACGGAGTTGAACATTAGTAGCCATAAACCCACAAAATTGAGTCGGTGGTCCAACGACGATTATAAAATAAAATATATAGTCCAAATGTACCACTATGTGGTATAAAAATTCGATAAAACGTGATTATATCAAAGTAAAAACATATTGTTATATATTATACAAAAGTTTTACAAAACGTTATTATATAAAACTGTTACCACTGATTGATCATGCAAAAACAGGTATGGCAATTTCATAAGTAGGCTATTATTTTACACATTTATTCATTTTTACTTCTTTTTCAATTCAGTTCTAGGTTTCCAATAATCTTTGCTTAGCAACGACCCAAAAATCAATGACCAAAACGGTGCACTTTGGAATTGATAATATTTACTTAATAATAATTCTTGCGTAAAGTGCAAACAATGTCTTGAAATGAGAAAAAACAAATTTTTCTTTTCGATAATAAAAAACTGAACACATTATATAGATTTATGGTAGTTATTCTTATGTTTCATGACGTTACTTTTTAGAGCAATGTTTCAGGATACATTTTTTTTTATTTTTCAGAACATACTTAGTTCCGAACTTGCTATTTTAAAAACTCGCTAGTTCGAATTTTTTTTTAGCGTCTCTTCAACTTTGAGATATCGAAAATATACTATATAATTATAATTTCAAAATCATTTAAAAAAAATCTTAATTCTTGAACCCACTTAAACCCTTTATGAAACCTTAGAACCAAATGCTGTTCCGCAGAACAGCATTTGATAACATGCTGCAGTAAGTCACAAACCCATGTTACTCAAGTCTTAAAATTATTATGAATCTTGACATTACTTGCCCCAACATTATATCATCACAATTCTATATCTCATCTGGAATTTTCATATACTCCAAAATAAAGACCGATTTAAAAAGTAATATTTAATAAATTTCTCTTGTTGTGGAGACAGAGCTCATGAAATAATATCACATGATGAATTCTTGCAATGCTTTCAATAGTTGAAATGTAAACTCATTCACAAACAGATGAGAAAATCATCGATGAGAAAACATTACAATTGAGTACTTTATGAATAAAATATTTTTTTTGGAACAGTTCTGTTATTTAATAGCTACGCCTCATATATTTTCACTAAAAGGCTCTGGAGAAATGTACAAAATGAAATAATACTAACTTGGCTTCTACCGTTCCATAAACGAATGGTTCTGTATCAGTAAAGAAAGAAGGCATTGTGACATTTACTTCAAATCTCGTTTGATCTGAAAATAAACTTTTTTTAATTTTTGCATTTAAATAGAAGTAAATTGAAAGAAATTAGAGATAATTATTCGTGCTTTTTAAAAGATACTTTGGAGCTAGATTGAAACTAGTATTACTTACAATATTCCTCAACCAAGAAATTATGTTCTTCAACTTGTCCCTAGAAAATTAAAAATAAATAAGTTTGAAACTAATCGAAGAGAAGTGAATGTTTTAAAAATACCCCTTATAGGGAAATTGATTTAAAGCTAAATTTAAAAAAAGAATGTCTATTTTTAGACATTTGCCTTTAGGCTTTTGGTTTTTGACCAGAGAATCAGATCCGGTTTGATATAGAAAGAACAGAAGCTTATTCGAAAACAACACAGAATAAATACAAAAAGGATAAAAGAAAAAAGAGATTAATGAAGAAAATTAAGAAAAATAATAAGTAATAGAATTAATAATAATAATAATACTCACACTATTGCATTGATATATTTGGCTAATTTGATACAATATTAGAAAGCACTCTTTTTTGCGGATATAATCGTGTGAGCTGATGACGAGATTATGTCTTTCCCTTATTTTGTTCTCCGGCTTTTTAATTTTTAAAAATATTATATTTTTAATAATTTTTTCTTCTTTTCTTTTTAAAAATATTCATACATTTTTTCATGCTGGATATTAATATATTTTAATATTTATATATTTCTCCATGTCAATATTGAAAATGACTGCAGCCTCTCAGCACATAATATCACAGGTTTTTTAATTCGAATTTGAAAGAACATTTGATTTAATTTTAATGATTTTCACATTTTAAAATCTTCAGGCAGTATGAAAAATTGCGCCCCCTTCAAATTTTTTTAAAAAAAAACTAGTTTTATTTTAGAAGTTAGAAACGACATGATTGAAACTTAAATCATGTTTTTTTCCTCATGTTACATAAATATATTCTAAAACTAAATACATGTTAGTGTTTTAAGAACATTCTTCCTTTATTATAATTGCTGTTTACCTGAGCAATAACTTGTAGCGTCCATTTGCCATACACAGGTTGTTCTGATAGTGGATATTCCAAGCTTACAGCTCCTAAAATTCAATAATGAAACAATTAATTTCTACAAATATTCTTGACAATATTAAATACATTAACTCATAAAAGACAGCTGTGTAACTCATACAGTTAGAGCAAAAATATCTATGTAATAGGTCTCCATTAAAAGTAAAATAATTTCGATTTTTTTTTATGAAATTGAAAGGTTATTTTCTTATTGTGAAGAAATATGCCTCAAAAAACGATTGAGCCGACAGGACTGGTGGTAGTCAGGGAGCTAACCCAATGCCTCCTAGCACAGAAAGCCTCCACACGGTTTTTTATAGGTAGTCCGATCAGACCACTATAAAGGTAAACCAGTTTACGAAAGTGCCTTTTAATAGAAAATCTAGTAAAAATAAAAAAGTGGTAGAGAATATATGTCTAAAAATTTGTTTAATTTATGAATATGATTGACTTGTCTTATTTACTTGTCTACCACTACAGATTCAACTCTCAAATATATATGATAAATTTCGCTCAGCAACTTTTATAATAGATTTTGGGTTCATGCGCAAAACCGGCTCATTTTTTAAATAGTCTGCGCAGACTACTTATGAAAAACCGTGTGGAAGCTTTTTGATGTAGGAGGTGATGGCTAACCTCGCATTAGAAAAGTCCTGGGTTCGAATCTCAAATAAGGCATGGATGTTCTATCATTTGCTGTACTATCCATCCTTACTGTAGGAACAACGTTGGTCCACCTAATATGGTGCCCCTGAAAGAATGGTCAAAAAATTCACCTTACTGAATGACAAGTGTCAATCGGGTGGGTATTGGGAAAAAAAGAAATGTTTAATTGAGCCATTGTCCATTCTGGTTCAAAGTCTTTTGCTATTGTGACTATGCAAAGAGTTTGCAAAGTCTTTGCTTGCGGAACATTGCAGTAAACAATCTATTTCGCTTTCCCAGATATGAAGCACTTGAAAAATGTTTCTTGACGTTTGAGAGGCAAATCACAGACGTCAACACAATGTCGCAAATTTCTTTCCGTAAGAATTTGAGGATGAGGAATCCATAGATCGAGTTTTGAGATAACACCAGATAATGTATAAATTTCATAAAATATAATTAAAAACAATTGGAGAATTTTAATTAAATCTAACGATACTTTAGATTGAGCTCAAAATGCCAATACATTTGTACAAACAAATAAGTATGCCATACGTACCAAGATTGGTTTGTCTTGAGAGCCATCGCCGAACTATGGTCCTTCTGGGATCTAACATGACCAAGTCAACTGCATCTGGAAATGCTTTCAAATCTGTCGTAATTGGAAGAGCTCGAAAACGAACTGAAACAAAAAAAAATCATTTTTAACAAAAATTACTCTCAGAAAAATAACGAAGAAAAAACTGGATATAGCTACTGATATCTTTATAATGACATTTAAAGCGAGAAAACAGTCTTCAAATGTAAAGCGCATGTTAGTTAATGGGCTATGTAAGTTGTATTGTTAGATTTTGAGATGCCACAGCCTGAAAGAAAAACATTGACAACAAAATTAACGACTTATTTAAAAAACTACTTCACCATATGGTAGAAAGGAATGATATGTCGATTTTAAAATCTTTATTGTTCAAAGTCGATGCATGAATTCAATACAAGAATCACTATTTAAAGCTATCGAACAACTTTCCTTAAAATAATATTTTAAATCTGATGTAATCACTCTTAAAACGACGTTAAAGAACAATTTAAATATTAAAATGTATTTAACTAAATTCAATATTTTTTAAATAAAAAAAGGGACTTTTTTATGCATTTTGTATACCGCAGTTTCTTACATAATTAACCTATCAAAACTGACTCACTTTATATTTGTAGTGCTCACCATTAAAAGTCAAACATTACAGACATATATTATTTTATTACAAGGACACTAAGATATGTATTGTTGCTATGATAAAATCGTCGGAACTGAATATATTTTAAATACTTTTATGTAAACTCTAATTTGATATTGTCCAAATTATACATATCTTTTTTTGGAGAAAAAAAATTAGATGCGGCCATGAGCACAGAAAAAAAAGTTTTAAGTTTTTTGCCTTTGATCTAAAATTACTATGAGTAATTCAAAATAAAGAGGACAAAATGAAAGGGAAAGGTTATATGGGGGAAAATCACATAGGAACATGGGGTCACAAACGCTATCCAGTGCCACTAACGTCAATGCAATGCGAATTTCCAAACGTATTCTGAGCAAGTTTTTAATATCTCCTGCAGTAGTATTGATCTCAAAATTTGTAAATATATAATATGCGTGGTAATACTGCATAAATAAAAAAATATAAAACTATTTTTGCAAATTGTCCTTGTAATTTTACATATAGTTTGCAACGTTCTTTAGTGACTCTGGATTGCGTTTACGACTCCATGTTCATTCTATGTGATTTTTGATTATTTTAACATATCGGCTGATAAGTTCCCGGTCTATTGAAGTAAACACAACTTTTTTAGTAAAATTCAAATTTATTCATCAACATAGTCTCCTTTAAGAGATATACAATCACTCCATCGCCTCTTTAACATCTCTATACCTTTCTTAAAAAAAGAACCATCTTTGCCCTTAAAAATAGACGTTTTTTCGGCAATCACTTCCTCATTCGTGCTGAATCTCTTACCCGAGAGCATTTTTTTCAAGTCTGCAAACAAGTAGAAGTCCATAGGAGCCAAATCTGGTGAATAGGGTGGGTGCGGGTGAATAGGGGTGTCTGACACAACGTTAAACAGCTCTCGGAATCATCAATTCGTTGTTATTTTTGGTCAACCGTTAGCACATGCGGCACCCACTTCGAAAACAGCTTTCTCGTGAACAAATGGTCGTGCAAAATAAAGCCTACACGCTCTTTTTGATATATTTAGAGTATCAGCTATGTCATGCAACTTCACCTTGCAGTTTTCTATAACAATTTTGTGGACTTTTATTATGTTTTCCGGATTAACCACATCTTTAGGGCATCCAGAGCGTGGCGCATCTTCAACATTTGTGCGATCACGTTTAAAATCAGCAAACCAGTCAATAATGGTCGATTTTCCTGGTGAAGAACCCGGATAACACTTATCGAGCCAAGCTTTAGTTGCTACCGTGTTTTTTCCCATTAAATAACAATCCTTAATAAGAACATGAAATTCTTTTTTATCCATTGTTTCAATAATATAAATTGCTTTTCGATTAAAATCACTGTAACTTTAAAATCAATCGGCAGATCGTTGTAAAATTTTGACACCTTTTTATTTGAAGGTTAGGACTTGCTAAACAAAATACTAACTCTGCATTTAGGGTGCCATCTGTATGTCAGACCGGAAACTTATCAGCCGATGTGTTAATATGCCTGCTTTGGTTCATTTTGTTCATGTTATTTTAAATCCCCTTGTATGTGTTTAGTTCAGTTACTTATATGTGCACGAAACAAATTTTTATTCTGCATCATGCCTCTTTTAGTTTAAATTTTGAAATAGTAGTTGAAGATTATGGTATAAATAACTAAGATGACAATTTTAAACTCATATAGCAAAACTGAAATGAATATGGATTCCTAATACTTTCTAGTACACATAGTTACCTGTTTGTCCTTGTTTATAGACTGGTCGATCAGTTTGTATAAATATTGTCATCGACCTCTGAGAAAAAGTCAGCCTTGTTTCGTTAATGAAAGCTGTACCACCAAGGACCCCATTCACATTGCCCTCAACCCTGAGATTGTATGAGCCTTGAACACTTGTAGTAGGAACCTGAAATCGAATTCAACAGGTGATTAAGATCCAATTCATAAAAATTCTTCTCTAGATCTATAAATCGAGACATTTTGGATGCTTTGAATTAGTTCTCGCATGAAATTATATCAAAACTTACTTTTAGTAAGAGAGTTTCAGGCATGTCTTGCTTCACTTCTTGCAGAGCAGTCGCAAGTTCAACTCCATCTCGCTGGATAGAAGCTCTAACTGTTATCGGGAACATTGTGTGAAACACACTCACTGTCACTCGATAAACTTGTCCTGGACGGACCATTTTAGAAGCCATGACAAAATATGTCCTGGAAGTTAAATAATTAAAAAAATTGAAAATAAAAAATTAATTAAATAAAATAAGTTAATTTAAAAAATTGAACAATATTTGAATTTGAATTTTGAACCCTAGCAACAAATTTATCTTAGGCCTAGTAGAGCTCAAAATTGTCACGTACTGTCACTCGAAAAACTTGCCCTGGACTGACCATTTTAGAGACCATGACAAAATGTGTCGTGGGAGTTAAATTAAACGACTTATAAAAAGAAAATAACTTTAATTTTGAGTCCTAGTAACAAATTGAGCTTGGTCCTAGTAGGGCTCAAAATTGTCACTCAATAAACTTGCCCTAGACGGGCCATTTTTAAGGACAAAGCAAATTATGTCCTGGAATTAAGTAAACGACTTATAAAACAATAGAACATTTATTGAATTTAAATTTTAAATCCAAGTAAAAAATTTATCTTGCCCATAGTAGGGACCGAAATTGGCTCAACAAAGGCACCACAAGAACAAGAAACATATAGGACGAAGATTTGGCTTTCTAGATTTTGCTCCAATGGATCTAGATAGAGTAAATATAGGTCCTACTTAAATTGAGTAGTAATATTAGTTGTTTATTTACTTCGCACAAGAGCTGCACAATGGGCTATAGGAAACTGTCTGGGAAACTTTCCTGAGGATTATCCGAAGACATGCTATCACAGTTTTTATCCTCTGCGGAGGGGATAGCTCCCCCAATTTAGTAGCCTAATGACCTGCGCTCGAAGTTGAGCCAGTATCGGCAGCCAGTGATGCTGGACTTCTGTGTTCTACTGGGAACTGTGACTTACGATCAGTTCACTATGGGAAGCTATCTGAATTAAAAAGTAACAAATAAATGTAGGACGTATCGGGACATATCTCTACAGGCTTAGTAATGTCTGTAAAACATCTGAAGACTTAGACAATTTTTTGCAAGCATTTGGTTGAGATTTGGCTAAGATGTTCACGTTTTGGTTCTATGGTTGACCAAGTTTAGTTGCTACTTGGAATATTGAGCATTAACCAGAAGAATTTTCAAGCAGCTGTCAATGTTTAAAGAATGCGTAAATCACAGATGTCGGAATATTTATATTGAGTTTCCAGAACAAAATATTTTAGTGTATTGCTGCCATTATAGGAATAAGAACAGAAATTGGATTTCTATGGAAATAAATATTTATCAATGAACTGAATTGGAATAAAAGTTTAAGTCATTAAATGTGGTACTTTTATTTTAAACTTTATTTCATTTATTTTGACGTTAAAGAGAATCCTGTCAAGCCAATTTTTACCTAAAGCCATAAATTTGACTATAGCTAATAAATTATATAAATAAATAGATAATTAATTTTAAACAAAATATTGTTTATCACCAAAAAGTTTATTCTTTTGTTGAAATAGTTAGCGAGCCTAATACAATTATTAATAAAGGGCATACTTTTATCTTTCTCCTACTCTCGCTCCACGTTAAGGTTTATAACTATTTGTTTATTGTTTAACATGTTTTACGTAATATTCATTACAACTTTCTGCAAAAACATGCATTGTTCTTGATCTTTATGTATACAAAACAAATTTACTTTAACTACGCGAATCACGATGTTAATCTATTGTGTTTAGTTAGTTTGACGTTGCACCCAAAAGAAGATATTCTTGTGAAAGCTTTGTTCATTCTTATTATAATGCTAATTCGAACTGAAGAAGTAAGAATGTAGCTGCCTTGTTCAGGATTTTCAAAGTATAGAAGAATTACAACGAATTTTAAATCTTGATTGCATAAAACTGTTCTTTGAAGCAATATAATTTGCTGAAATGAAACGAATTTACTTAATCTGAATCAAAAACAAAAGAATAATTTTTTTTTTAAATTTATGTAATAATTTTTTATATTCTACACAAAGTAAAGGAAGATAATATTTTCCAATAAATCGAGGAATTTCTTTCCCGATAGAAAAAGTCAATAAGTTTTATATGAAAATTCAAAGTTTTTAATTTACCCATTATAATAAGAGTCTTCATAGCTCATATTGATAAAATTCTAGTCTAAAAACACACGAAAAGTCACTTTTGGTGTGCTACGTTTAATTCACGACTTTATGTTAAACAAGAACAGTTTTCAAACTTTCAACTCGATCAACTTTTCAAAAAGAAAATGCCTTTCTTTTATTTAAGCATTGAAGTTCTCTTGAAACTTTTTCTTACGTTGTTAAAATAGATTCAAACTATTTATTCACTTTTTAAATGAAAAACGATATGAATGCATTTTACATCAAAAATTAGTGATGTATATTATATATAGAGATCTAAAAATAGTCGTGTTACATCTTATTTCATTAAAAAAATAACAGAAAATAAGGTAACAAAATTTTCCAATTTAATATTTTAAAAGCAGTTTTAAAACAAAAAAACAGACGATTTTTATTTTAACATTATAGGATATCTTAATATAAATTAGTGACAAAAGATGACGTAGATTGCTATAAACCCAACATGCAAATGTTTAAAGAGCCCAGAATAAAGTCGATTTCATAGAGTCATTAGTAAGAATTATGATATCGCAGTCAAAGAAAAATCTTGAACAAAATACTAATTATCCCTGGGAACTAAGAATCAACCGCAGTGGTAAATGTACACCAACTAATAATTAATTGATGTAAAAACTACTCATTAACCTGCACTCATTGGTCATTTTGCAAGGGATTCTTCTGAGCACGTACGGATAATCTCATGAAAAGCTTTTACAATATTCTATAAGCATGAAATATCGACAACCAGGCTATTAAAACGTTTGAACAAGTCATTTATTATCTTCGAAATATAACACTGATGTTTATATTCAGTGGTAGGGCATAGCCTTCGGGGAATACAATAATGCAATGAAATACAATAAAGGGTAGTTTTCTACCTTCTGTACATTTTTATTTGGGCTTATGATTCGCAGGTACTTTTGCAACGCAAAGCATAGGATTTTCTTTTTGACATCTTTGCTTTTATCTAGTAATTTGGAGGAATCAAATTAAACCATTCAAAATAAATTCTAAATCTGCTGGAGTCACGTGGTAAGAACGTAGTTGCAGTAATTTATTTACGTCACACCATATCTGCACAACGAGCTATATGTCTGGTAAACATTCCAAAGGGCGGTCAATGCAAACACAATTTTGATCCTCTTTAGAGGGGAAGGCTCCCCCTTTTTGGTAGCCCGACGCTCTGTAAAAAATTCCGTACCAAATCACGGTAAAAAAAGTACCGGCACTCAGGGTGATGGTACATTTTACCGTAAGATCCACTTTTAACGGAACAAAAATCTGATATACCGTGCTTTTTATAATAATAATTACTGTAAAATAACAGAATCGTTCTATTGAAATAAATATTATACTTAAATATATATTAAATAAAATTATGGTACAATATTTTTATGGCAAAAATGGATTTTACGAATGATGCATCCAAATTGTCGATACATTCTTACCGTAATTTTTACAGTGCAGTAAAGCACTTTACGGTAGAATAGTTTAACGAGGACAAACGCACTACACCCATGGTTCCTTCGCAGTTTGATCAAAGTGGTCACCCACTCGCTCGCTTACTTACTATTGCCAGTTATGTTTGACTTCGGTGTTCTAGTGGGAACGGTGTCTTACGATCCATTCATTGCGGGAGCCAAGAGGTGAAAACGAATTCAGACAACATAAATGAGAACTGCAAAAGAAGTCGGAATGGATAAAACAGTGAGGCGGCACAAGCCACTGTAGCGCAAAAGATAAAGCGCTCGCTTCCCAATGAGATGACTCAGGTTCGCATCCCAGCTATGGCTGAGCTGCACAAATGCTGCTTTCGACTCAAACCGACCACGATGTTGGCGTTAAATGTCCTCTGTGGTAGACGGATCATGGGTAAGAGCCCCCTAGCTATTTGGGTAACCGTGGGAGGTTTTTTCTCCCCATGTAACATAAATGCAGGGGAATTTCAACAAAAACGAAGATTGATTCATTTCAATGCCTGATCCAGAATTTCCCTTGTTTTCTAGGTCGTCATCATATTTGCAAGGTTACTGATTTGAACATTGATGATTGTAAACCTAAAATTGGCTCAACTGTTCATTGATTATACACAGGTGAGACAGGTTAAAAACCTGACTACAGTTGGTCATTTCATATACTCTTTTGCAGGGTAGCACCGATCACAGTATTGACGAAAGTAATTAGAATAAAAAAAAAACAGTGACAGAAGGAGCATGAGTTAGAGTGTATTTACCGCTAAGCTTGCATTCGTAGTTTCGCTCGCTATGTAATAAAAGCGGATTACTTTTACACAAAATGTCCTCAACAATGGCAAATTATAACAGTTGCTAGATCCAGAAGTTCTTTTGTTTAAACTAACTGTTTCACAATTACAAGACCACAGAGTGGAATTATGAGATGGCAGCAAATCTTATATGACCGCTTTTTCAACACTGGTTAGAAAATAACTGTTAAATTTTACCACTAAAAATTTCGCATTTCAAAATTTAAATATTTAAATATTTCGCCCTGATTTCTTGATAAAATTCAATTCAACAATAAAACTCATTGCTAAAGTTTAAAATTTATATGATAAAATTCATATTTAAGTAGATTTATACTTACGGTTCATTTTTATTTTTGTTGAGACGGAATTCGCCAGGAAATTGAGGATACATATCATATGAAGATTGGCAAGAAACTGATGTTATAATAAATAGCAAGAAAGAAACAAATTCAGGAAGCATTTTGACCTAAAAGAAATCAAACAAAAATATCAATATCTTTCTCAAAACTGAGTGTTTGTGTTATCGTTATTGCATAAAATTCAATATTCAATAGAGTCTTAATAGAAATTATTATTTCACACGTTTCTTATGCATTCCGTAGAAGATTAATGACTAACAGGAAAAGTATGAAATAATTAACATTCCACACATTAGGCATTCTATTAAAAGACTAATGAAATCCTACAAGCACTCAATGCAATTAGTCAAATTATGTAATAATTCTCATACTTCATACTTTGTCTAAAGAGCGTTTGTCATTCTTGAAAATGTCTAGGGATTCCATATGAGAATTATGATTAGGTATAGTATATAATAATTCTCATATTTCATACTTAGCGTCAAAAGCATTTATCATTTGTGAAAATGTCTAGGTATTCTATTGAAGGATTAGGTATAGTTTATAATAATTCTCATATTTCTTACTTTGCTTAAGAGCATTTGTTATTCTTGAAAATGTCTAAGCATTTTATTGAATGATTGGGTATAGCACATAATAATTCCATATTTTATATAAAATGCCAGGCATTTTATAGAATTTATATATTTAAAAAACATTACAGTAACATATGCTTTAACTTAACAACACAAATGGCTGTATGTAAAGACATTTAAAATAATTACTACTATTGTAGTGAAGTTTTTATTAAACTGATATACTAAAGAGATTTTTTAAACCGTCAAGTTAATGACGAACCAACGGAAAGTCTTTGGTCAGTATAATAAGCCACATTTTCGAATTGTTCTGGTTCTGCTCACATTTTCAAGTTCAAATGCTTTTGNCAAATTTTTATAATTATAAGTGAAATTAGACTTAAAACAATGGGTAAAATCAAAATATTCAAGGAGCGAGAAAAAGCGTATGCAACAGAGGCTACCAGCTGTTGCCAGTTAGTTCAAATGCTTTTGTATATTATTCTGTTATATAATAAAAATTCTGAAATTTAAATTTAATATCTTAGAATATCTTAGAAGAGTTAGATATTAAAAAGTCATTAAAAGTCATATTTTAACGAGGACCAATACCGCACACCCTCGGACCCTTCGCAAACTGATCCAAGTGGTTACCCACCCGTATACCGAATACAGCCAGTGATGCTTGACTTCGGTGATCTGCAGGGAACCGTGTCTTAACGGTCAGTCCACTGCGGGACAAAATATTATTATTATTATTGAATATGTAAACATATTATTTTTTAAAGCATGATTATTACTTTTTTAAAGCATTGTAATAAGAAAAATAAATTATTTTAAGTTTGCAAACTTCCGATTGGTGGTATAAATCCTCAGCTTTTAATTAAAACGACCGCATCAAAGCAGCGTCGTACTCTTCGTGTTTAGATTTGCTGCCGTAAGCGATGCTTTTAAAACTTACACGTCCACTGTTGGTTGCCAAATGTACTTGGAACTTTTGTCTACTCTAAAATCATTCAAAGACAAGCATTTTCATCCACTGGCATCTTCAAAATTTAAACAAGACTTGATCAAATAAATAAAAATTGTTTATAGTTAAATAAAACAATAATATTTTTACACGTCCAATAACTTTTTCTAACTACAAGCTCAGAAATCAAATTATAAGCTTCATTGGAACTCCCGGTGTCTTTATTTGAATTCATATTTTCCAAATAATGAATTGAAATATGCTCTTAATATTCGAGAATGGTTGAAATAATTTAAAAGCTTCAGCGAAGGAATAAACCGGTCGTAATCAGTTCATAATGAGTCACCCATTAAGAAAAAGTACAATGCTTTTTGAGCGTAAAGGCATGAAAATACTCATCAATATGTGTTAACATCGTTTATTTTGTTATCGTCCGCTTATTAAACCGTTTTAAATGAAGTCTAGTATGAAAATAAATTCTAAAAAAGCGATCTCAGTTTGTGGGAATAGGAACAATGGTTGGTTACACATGAATTAACAGCAGTACCAATGGAAAAAAAAGGTAGATATAAGGGCGTTATATACCACTTCCTTCTTTATAAGACAGAACTTGATAAGAGGAGTTATATGTTTTTATATCAACCATTTGACAAACAATTGAAATATTATAGAGCTAATTTTAACTAATAAAAATACTTTTAATGAAAGATTTGGAAAAAATAATAAGTAATAGTTTAAAGATTTATTATAGGAAAACCGATCTCTATGGATAAATTAACGAAAAATTAGATTCGTAAAATCACCCGTGCATATAAAAATCTTTTGATTGAAATTTTGATGATATCGCGTGATGGTATTTTAATAAAATGTTATGACGTACCTTTGTAACACATGCTTCAATTATTAATAAACAAAAAAAGAGACTACTGTCTTTAACCGTTATCAGCATGTAAGTTAAAACGGTATTTGCCTGCAAATAATTTATTTGTCTCATATTTATCGGTATTCACTAGCAATATTTTTTAAAAGTCCTTTTTGAATATTATTTTCCAGTTTTATTAGGTTTTCAATTTTGATTATGATTAAAATTCTAAGGCTTGAAGGGCAAAGATATTCCTGCATTTTAATTTTAGGTAATTTTTTGATAATTTGAAAAATTAGTCAACTTTTCAGAACAAAATTTTGAGTATAATATAAATAAATTAATGTATTCGGAACGCAAATTAGGAGTTTTTTTTGGAATAGTAAAAATCATAGTTTTAAACCCGATATTTTGAATAGTTGCTAAGATAGACGAACCAAATCTTTCCGAAGTTAAATTTTAAGTAAAACAATTTTTTGTCTAACGGCGTTTAAATGTGTACCTATGGTTATTAGATATTAATTTATAGATTTACAATATAGTTAGAAATCAAATGCAAATATTGTATTATAAATAAAATATGGTACAAATTGTTGCATAATAAATTGTAACAACAAAAAAAAAGGGTGAATTATTTAACCACAATAAAAAAGAACATACATTTACAACTGATAATAAAAAAGTTAAAAGAAAAAAAACAGCAACGTTATTCTCCCCCTAACATTTAAATTTTCAAGATATTTATAAGAAAAAAATATGTGTATACCATTTTTAAATGATATGATAATTACTGTTTATTTAAAAAAATCTGTTAGTTACTGTTTATCTATTAGCTAATAAATCTATTAAAAATTAACGATAGACCACCGCAACACATTAAATTACTTTAGAAGTCAAACCTTAGATGCAGAATTTTTGTTAAACATATTTTCATACTTTTTTTCCTTATTCTATAATTTATTCTTTATTTTATTTAATTCCTTTTTTAATTTTATTTCTAATTTCGGTCAGAAAGAGTGAAAAATATTATATTTAGTACTTTAATAGTTCATGGTTATGAAATACAGTATGAAACACAGGAGTCTTTTTCTTGCGTAATAGTATTTTCCAAACACGGCTATTACAAACAATATTTTTTCAAACATGCACTTATTTGCAGTTATTTAGATCTAAGAGAAATAGTTAATCATAATTTAAATTTACGTAGTTAACAAAATCAATTATTGTTTAAATCTATATTTAAAAAAAATTTCTACCTACTTTTTTTTGGATTTTATATTTTAGTACAAATATAATTCCGATAATCTAACAGAATTTTTTAGTAACTATTCGACTGTTTTTTGCAATTGAAAAATACCAAAATTTTTGCTTGTAATTAGAGCTTAAAAAAATATATCAAAGGGACATTGGTCAAATAATTTTATTTTATCAAATAAAAAACTATGACAGAAGAGGTATGATTTTCAAGTTGACTAATTTTGAAATTTTTTTTTATTAGTCCTCAGCCATTGTAGAAAAAAGCAAGCCAAAAGCACCAAAAAAGAATTATAACCCGATATTAAATTAAAATGGATAATAATTTCAAGCTAATTTTTTTTCAATGAAGTTATTAAAATNCTTTTGATTGAAATTTTGATGATATCGCGTGATGGTATTTTGACAAAATGTTACGACGTACCTCTATAACAATTATTACTAAACAAAGAAGAGACTACTGTCTTTAACCGTCATCAGCATGAAAGTTATAATGGTATTTGCCTGTAAATAATTTATTTGTCTCGTAATTAACGGTATTCACAGGCAATATATTTTTTAAAATCCTTTTTGAATATTATTCTCTGGTTTTATGACGTTTTCAATTTTGATTATGATGAAAATTTAAAGGCTTGAAGGGCAAAGACATTTCTGCATTTTAATTTCAGGTAATTTTCTTGAAAATTTGAAAAATTAGTCAACTTCTCAGAACAAAAATTTTGAATGTTATTGAATATAATATAAATAAATTAATGTATTCGGAACGTAAATTTGATGGGTTTTTTTTGGAATACTTTTGTAAAAATCATAGTTTTAATCCCGATATTTTAAATAGCTGCTAAGATACCAAAGCTTTCGGAAGTTAAATTTTAAGTAAAACATTTTTTTTTCTAACGGCGTTAAAATGTATACCTATGGTTATTAGATATTACTTTATATATTTACAATATAGTAGAGAAATCAAATGCAAATATTGTATTATAAATAAAATATGGTACAAATTGTTGCATTATAAATTGTAACAACAAAAAAATGGGTGAATTATTCAACCACAATAAAGAAGAACATACATTTACAACTGATAATAAAAAAGTTAAAAAAAAAACAGCATAATTCTTCCCCTAACATTTAAATTCTCAAGATATTTATGAGAAAAAAATATGTGTGTACCATTTTTAAATGATATGATAATTACTGTTTATTTAAAAAAAATCTGTTAGTTACTGTTTATCTATTAGCTAATAAATCTATTAAAAATTAACAATAGACCACCGCAATACTTAGATGCAGAATTTTTATTAAACACATTTCATACTTTTTTTCCTTATTCTATAATTTATTCTTTATTTTAATTAATTACTTTTTTAATTTTTTTTCTAATTTAGGTCAAAAAGAGTGAAAAATATTATATTTAGTATTTTAATAGTTTATGGTTATGAAATACAGTATGAAACACAGGAGTCTTTT